TTTGCCCATTGATCATATTTACTGGAAAATATTATATCCACCAAATAAAAGTTTGTATTTTCAAATTTCATTCATTCATATTGTATCAAATTTATCCGTGTTTATATTATTGTTGTTTTTATCAATCTGTTCAATGTACTTTTGGTGCACAGATAACATACAATTTCATAAAAGGTTTAGTAAATATTTTATGTTATATAAATTGATTTTGGTTTAGAGGTTAAGTGTTTACTTGAGAGACCGAACATTGCGGTTTCGATCCCTAGTGGTAGGGTCGTATTGAAGAGTCCTATACTTGAAAAAAAAACCCAACCATCTACTGCCTTCTGGTTTGCAATGGTTGTTTGACTAAGATTATTCCATAATGTTAACTATACAGTTTATCACATAGTTTCAATAATCTTTAGTTTTTCATTGAATTATCTCATTTCATCACAGCGATTAACAGTTTTAAATTTTATATGTTATGTGAAAACTAATTTTTATGAATTATGATATAAATTAGAATACGGTTATTATATATCTGTTTATATATAATTACTGAAAAACTCACGGTACTACTAAATAGAATACTATTAACAATAATCAGGACTCTATTATTACATAAATTGCTTAGTTCCTACAACTTTTATGTAAATAAAACTAATCGTGTTTTTCATGATTGTGCATTTGTGTTTACTTGTAATGGTTCTGTTGTACTAATGAAAAAAAAGGTCATAAAATGGTTTCATTATATTCGTGTGTATGTGTAAATGTTGCTATATTCAATAATATTTAAACAATTATTTATTTCATTTTACTCTCATTATGTTCTATGTATAGCGTTCAAATTGATTGACCGTGCTTATGCCCGCTTTTTTTTTTCAAAAACAAAAACAACATAAAATAAACAAACAGATAGGACAAATTGGAGTTATTGACATTCAGAATTGCAATTGATCAATCTCTGTTGTTATATGTATATCCTGAGGTGATTGAGTTGATAAAGAATTGGTAAAGAGTTTGCAATTTTACTCATTGAACAATAAGCATCAATTTGTAATGCATGATGGTGGTGTTAAATTGTAAATCAGTTGTAATTGTGAATCAAGGCATGAGAACTTACTGATATACAAAGGTGATGCGCTCATTGAAAATTCTGAATCAAAACGTCGTGTTTATGCTTTGCTGATGAGTCTCGTACTAAAATGAAATAGTTTTTCAGAACTTCTTGGTTTTTAGGGATTGTCTGGTTAGAACTAGTCTGTAATCTAAAAACATCTTCAATTTAAATGATCTCCACATACATACCATTCTGACTAGATTGGTTCTATTAGATGGATTTGGTGTAGTAGTACTCCCTTTTTTCTCAAATGAAACACCTCTAACTCCAACACTAAATAATTTGCGTTGTTTTACTGTCACGTATGTGTTTAAGTAAATTCCTTCATCATTGTATATGAATACGCCTAGATATACCGTGGGTCATCAGCCAAATAATAGACATTTGCTTAATTACCTGTAACGTAGTATTTCAGAATTGATGGATTATAATTAACAATAGAATCTAGAAAGTGTATTTCACTCAATTTGTGATTTGTCAGCTAAGCACACATCTGTATCACAACTTATTCTAAAACTATAAACCAGTACCTTTCACTTTAAACGTCTAACACATTATTCACCAAGCTACTGAATTTCATATAGTCACTAACTTGTTGAACGAGTATGATGCTTATATTATTATTCATGATATTAAGAGTGTGAATTATGTTGTTGATATTCTATACTGAATTCGAGTAATTCGTTCTTAGTAATTCTTATTACTTGAATCTTTGCTTTTCATAATAACAATAATTTTTTTCTTTTTTAATAGAATTTATTTAAGGAATCAATGGAGAAACTAATTTTATTTAACAGACAATTACTAGTCTAACGATAATCCGAAGGGGTTTTGTGGAGATTGTAGTAGTTTCAATAGTCGAGATCATAAGTCAATTGAAGCTAGACCACTATGGAAAACCTGGAAGCACTGGACGGCCATTTCAACCCATTGTGGGATTTCTCAGCAGTGCGCATCCACGACCTCGCCTCACGGGATTCGAACTCAGGACCTATTGGTCTCGCGTGCGATCGCTTAACCACTAGACCAGTGAGCCGGAATCCAGAGGTGTTAATGTCTAACTTCAACTAATCCACGAAATTGAGCGACACATGCACCATTGTCATCAGTGAGTGAATGTGGCTGTGCACTGCTGAGTAGTCCCATAATAGGATGAAACGGCCATCCAGTGCTTCCAGGTTTTCCATGGTGGTCTAGCTTTAATTAACTTACGATCTCAACTATTGAAACTAATCATAATCATGATAAACTTTCTCAATTTAATTTTCTTAAAAATATAATTTATTGACTGATTTCTAAATATGAAATGGAAAATTACATAAAGTACATTGTTGTTTCGTAATTTATGAAATGAATTTTGATTATATTAGGTGTACTTTATTTTTGTTCAATTATATATAGGTGGAAGATTGTGATGAAGGTCATTTTCATCACGTACACAATGACTAGTTAATATGATCGTGTTTTGTTTTGTAAAAAAAAACAAACTCAAATGATTTTGTGTTGTGTAATACAACGGGATTCGTATTTTGTCATTATGTGTATGCGTGCCCTCATCACTACAACTTTGGTTGGTTCCATAGTTTATGGTTTTGTACTATAACTGTTGAAAATACTTCTTTAAGTTGGTTAAATTCATTCAGGACTAATGAATTAAATTTGGTTATCTCGAAGAGAAAGACAGACAGGGAGCAGAAAGCGAGTAATGATACTAATAATACTAATAATAATTGTAATAGTTTTATTTAGAATTATATGTATAATACAATTTAAAATGCCCAGCATGCAGTATTTCAACAAAGTTTTCGTACTCTTTCATTACACAAAAGAAAAAAAACAATAGATAAGTATTGAGGACCCATACAACCATAAATTCCTAATATTTTCATGAGTGTACGTTTTTGACTAGGTCAGCTCTTATAACCTTTTCGTCATATAATATATTTGCTAGATAAGAGCGGTGTTGTAGAGCATCTGTACTTCTGCTCGTATACGTGGATTCTAATGTATCTGCGTCTTGTTCTACCAGACGATTTACAAAGAGAAAGATGTTAGTGGAATGAATGGCTAGTATCTGATCAAATCATACTTGGCAGGTTTTCGCTAGATTTCGAATAATACCAAAAGCATGTAGACTTCTCATCTAATAAGATAGATGGAAAACTTTTCTTTGGTATTAATGAGGCCTAGAAAGACCAATATAGAAAAGAGAGAAAGAACTGGTTTGTTATTTATTTTATGTGTACTATTTTCAGAGATGGTTCCGAAGTGATAAGTTAAATATGAAGGAAATGAAAAGTGGTTAACATTATGCGTACGTGACCAACTGTTTTTCTAATACTGTTGAATTTAACTGTTGTTTACGTATAACCGGAAAAGGTGACGTATACTTGCTTACTTATGTGTGTTACTCCTCATGGAGAAGCATGTGCCGCCCACCAGCATTGTTCATCAACGTATACATCCGATGATTTTGTATTGTATACTTTAAAAATATGATCAATACATTGTAATCTTGTGCATTCAGCTCTTATTTCATTCTCTAATCAATTGAACGTTAATGGATCTGTAATAGGAACTTTTTATCATCAAACAATTGTTTTGAGCAAACAGATTTGTTTTTATTTAACTAAAGCATATAAACACCAAACCTAGTAGAATAACCTGAATTCAATATTTTGTTTCACAGTTTCTCATCTGTTTCACATAGTCTAAACATAATACCATTTATCATCAAAAACCACTGTACATAATTTATATCATAATTTCATTATAATGGAAAAGTTTCCATCGATACAGATTCATGAAAAGAGTAATAAGTATGGAAGAAGTAAAAGAGATGTTCATATGTTAATTATAATGTAAATATTTATAGGTTGATTATATGAATATTTTAGAATAAAAACTAAGAGCATAGGAATAGAATGAATTAGAAATGAAATATTAATATTGTAGGTATGTAGTTGTTAAAATAAAATTGAATAACAGTACACATCCAATGATAAGTAGGAATTAATAATTAGTATCATAGAATAAAAAAAATTATGTAGTAACCATTTATGAATGAGGTTACCATGGCAGGATTGATAACTGACTCTTTTTGAATAAATAAATTTGGTTTACGTCTTTTTATGGAAATCATTTTAGAGAAACACAGTAAATTAAACCCTCTTTGTATATTAATTGTCTTGAAAGAATTTAAGATGTAAAAAACTATAACTACTGTCAAGCGAATAGTGTACAGTTGATCTCGTGGAAACGTGTTATCCTTTTAATCTAGGCTTCTGTGACGTTTGTTCAGTAATGAAGACACTAACTTTCCTTTCTGTTCTTTCAATATGTGTGCGTTAGCACGTACATGTAAACTGGTACAAACGATTCGAGATAACATAAGGTGGGAATTTTTAAACATATGACTGTCTAAATGATCAGTTCTTTTATTACAGAGATATCAGATTGACAGTTGAATACATTCCTTTTATTATATCCTTTAATTCGAAATCAAACTCATGCATTATACACAATCTAAACCTTCAATATGTAATACATCCGAACCACAAAATAAATGTCTGAATAACATCAGTACTGGGATGCATTTATATCTGTCTGATGAATTCAAAATAATGTAAACCTCCCGTCCAGCGTCCCTTTTGCTAGCTACAATCCATCTAATTAAGAAAAAATATAACAAAATTGCTAAATCTAGACAATATACTCAGAACATACAAATACTAACAAAAAACAAGCAAAATTCAGTCCTTAATATTAACAACAGGATAATTCAATGGTTAACGAATAATGATTTAACTTTGTTTGATTTATAATAAACTAATATATATATATATATATCGTCATTATAGTTTTTAGTATTCAAATTTCTTTTCATTTCCTCATGTAGCTTTCTTGTATCATTTTTGGTGGATGCACGTGGTGGATCGATGCGTGGTAGTCGTCATCCAGGTCTACGAATTTTAGTCCCACCAAGTGCAGCAAGTGCACCAACACGTATTACCTGCCGTATGTTACGACCTGAACGTACAGCTCGACCACCTCAATTGAATGATTGTGAAGGATTAGCTTGTCGGTAAATTTTAATTTTTAAAATTTTACTATTTCTATAAACTGTTTATTCTAATGACAGATATGAGCATTTAAATAATCAGCAAATTTAATTTGTTAAGCTTTATAGTACCACTCGAGTAGTTTTGTTTTAGTCAGTGTCAAACGTTGGTAGTTTATATCACGAACTGACCCTCAGATTACCACTAAACGTCAAGAAGAGCAGAACTATTCAATTCTGGTACGGGTTTCTCAGTAACCTCGACCCCGTAATCCGTGAATCAAACCCATGACCTTTTTCGGATTCATAAGCGAAAACTTAACCTTTGGAAAACTGAACTAGGATTTAATGGTACATAAGTTTAAGGTCAAACAATCCACGATATTGCGTGAACATCTTCCATCGCCGTGAACGGTGGATCTAGACCTCGTCGGCTTTGTAGAAGCTACCCATTGAAGACAATGGAAGATGCTCGCAATAAATCGCAGGTTGACTTGTACACCATTGGATGTCGGCTCAGTGGTCTGAAGATCAAGCGTTCACGCTCAAGGCCGCAGGTCATAGGTTTGATACCCGGTTTCATGGTTGCTGCAGCGCACTGCTGAATAGTTTCACACTATCAAGAAATGACAGTCTAGTGCTTCCAGGTTTTCAATGATTGTCTAACTTAGATAATTGATCTCAACAAATAATTCAGCTTAATTATTTCTTTTCAAAGTTTACTGTCGAGGAAATCTGTCTTTTTTCTTAAATTGGTTCAACTTATATTTCCTTAATTTTTGTATATCCCATATAGTATCATTGAGTTAGGACCGCATCCATGTCGTTTCAATTCACCGGTGGTGTTAGAAATTCCACATTTTGCTTCATTACGTGGTCGTCAACGTGAACTCGTTGTATTACGTAGTGATAATGCTGAAATATGGCGTGAACATTCACTAGAAGCTACAGATCAAGCAGTTCAGTCAGCTGTAGGTCAAAGTTTCGGTAAGTATTCAGAATATGAAGGTGTAGATTTTACTAGATAGATAGATAGTACTTTCTAATAAACAAAACTAATGATAATTAGTAAAGTCAGTTTTTATTTTCTTATTTCGGATCATAATCCATAAGTCAAAGTGGCAACATATCTTTCAAGTTGTGGATTAATATCACACATGAACAGACATGTCAATAGAAAAGATCAGGACTTAAATTGGCTCAACTTCATTCCATAAAAGTACACCAGCAAAGAGTGATTTCTTTCAGTATACATTGCATTTAGTGCTAAATACTTGGCTATAATATAAATTTTAAAGAGTAGCTGATTTCTTTTTCTAAGTTGCTGTTCAAGATTACGTATTATTGAGAATTAGTCTCTTATTAGTTGTTTCTAATTAACAAGGTGTATCTGTAGTATAGAGAAAACTAGTGCTCTCTGTGTGATTTGATCTTTTCTGTCATTCAGCGTTACAGTCGGTGCTACTTGGGTTGCAGCTAATCTGTATGTCATAATAAACGATTATGTGATTTGATTGTGAATGTAGTGATCTCGTATGCCTTTATTATTTGGAAGGGGAATTTCACTTCCCATTTGATTAGACTATAGAACGATGCCTCTTTGTGGCATCCCTGGAAAAGAGACTAGATTAGGAATGGTCTTGACGGCATGATTGGATCACCAGTATATGGAAGCCTGACCACAATGTCACGATACCAGTTACGATTTTGAATTAACCTGTACGACTGAAATATTCACATTGATTGGTTACTGATCAGCATCAACTGCTTAATTTGTTTCGCATTTTGTGTTAATCAAGTTCTACAGATCAGTTCGCGACGCAGCTTCTGGGCACAGTGATTTCATGTAAGCGTGACGAATTTTTGGTGTTTAGTAGTTGAAGGGAACTGGAAGGAATGAGTAGTTGAAATCATCTAATTCAGAAGTATTATCACAAAATTATGTTTTAGTTTACTGGAACCTATTCTTTTGTTTTACTGTTTTGTTATAATAATATCTATCAGGACATAATGTTTTCGTATCCGCATCATTTTGGTTATGAATTTGATTTAAACAGATACGTTAGAGACGCTGGAAGAACTTCGTGCGAAACGTATTATTCGTATATTGACTAATGATTTTCCACAATATATGGCAGTTGTTAGTAGAATACGCCAAGAATCATCTTTAGTTGGTTCAGATGGTGGTGTTCTTAGTTCGACAGTTGTTCCACAAGTTCAAGCTGTATTCCCAGAAGGTGCACTACAGAAAAGAATTCGTGTCGGTTTACAAGTACGTCTATTTTTTAGACTACCCTGTTGGTTTGTAAGAAAATTGCTATTATATGGAGTGTTTGATTTGCAGACATAATCAACTGAGGATTATCGGTATCACGCTACTGTTTATTTAAGTGTATACTAAATCTTAAAGATGTCAATCCAAACAGTGAGTATTCGACACCTATTGATCCAAGGCATTATCATTTCTAGGCATTTTTTGAGGTTTTTAAACATCTGCTTGGAGCTTTTGAAATCATATTATATAACATGGACTGTCATTATATTATAATGAAGATCATTTTCTAGCGTAGCGTAGAGTAGGTAGTATGATCATCACGCAGTCAGTTTTACAATACATTGGTTTATGCTTTTTGTTGATGAAAGTACATTTTCTGTCTTCGAGACATGTATGATGTATTCTCTAAGATGGAATATTTGTTCCGTTCCTCTTGTTTTCAACGATTTTCTAGCTTTGTAATATAAATGAGTTTTATCTCCTTATCAATTAACCAGACAGTTGGTTGGCTTTTTCTTTAAATAACAGTTTGTTTGAAATCCAGATACAGTTCTGTAAGTAAATTATATATATTCTACCATCTCTCTCAACGGGTTATTCGATTTTAGTGTTTCATCAAACTAGTCAAATAGTTTTATCTTAGAGGTTAGAGTGCTTACATGCGTTAAGAGAACACATCAAAATAGTAAATTAATCCTTAGGAAGTGGCATTATTATATTACTTTCTAACAAATTCTGGGACAATTATTAACGTAACGGTATACATAAATAGTTGTTTTGTGTAGTTTGTTTGAGGCCCATGTGATAGAACTGTCAGACAGTAGCGAATTTGTATTGATCTAGTCTGAGTATTGATTAGTCTTCGTAAACTATCTATCTAGTACCAATGACCTTCGACTAATCATTACTACGATAATACTGAGAAAGCCGAAAATAACAGTTGATAACTACTGGTCCAGAATGCGGCTTCCCAAGTTCGCTCGCCCAGTAACCAGAATAGAACAGATCACATTTAGTAAATAACTTCTTATTAGGCAGTTCAAATTTATGAATCACCCATAGAGTTATAATGGGTACAATCCTGACTATACATCAACACAATTAAAGAATTATAATATGAGCGTAACTATTCCATAAGTGGAAGTGACTTGATTGATAGGCCCTTATTAATTATCGCCTATACTATAAAGAAGTCTGTGCGAAAACATCTAACTACAATTAATCATTTTTTTGTGTTGAATATATTTTAAATTTTAGGCTCAGCCAATCGCTCCAGAGTTAGTTACACGATTATTTGGTAATCGTGTTACAGTCTCGCCAATTGTCACATTAGAACCACGTCGTCGTAAATTTCATAAACCAATCACCCTAACTATACCATTACCGAAAGCTGTTGTTCGTGGTATGCTGAATCCATCGGTGAATGATTTAAAATCACAAAATGTACCAAGTTTACGATTGTTGTGCAGTATTACCGGTGGTACAGCGCCAGCACAATGGGAAGATATTACTGGATCTACACCATTGTCTAAAGTGAAAGATTGTATCTCCTTCACTACAACAGTTTCAGCGAGGTAGGATAAATAGTGGTTAGTTTTTAATTTTTATTTGTATACTTATTTAAAATATTAACAGATAGTCATTGACATGGTTCTCATTGACTTTTGAAAAAAATATTTCTCATTGTACTGGAAAAAGATATTCAGTGAAAGTTTGATATTACATTGTATTGTTTTTAGCTTTAAAATAATTGTTAAAAATATGAAATGATTAGAATCCCAGATCTATCAAATTTCGAAGGCCGTATGATAATAATCATGCTGCATTAAATTCCTATGTTCTATGTAAAAAAAGTCAGACTTTTCACTATACTTTTGATAGTGTTATACATTGAAATACAGGAGCTACTTTTCCTTCGGTTTCTAAGTATTCAGCATGATTTACGCTAATCACAGATATTTACACTGTTACTCAAATCTTTATATTCGCGTATTTTCTATACTATTCAGAAAGAACTAGATGGTTATTCAACTGATCTTGATTTAAAATGGAATCCAACTTTTACATTAAAACTAAAAATGTGACCCCGATTCGCTGAGATTAACTAAATCAAGCAGTTGAGAATTCACTAGTCAATCTAAGCTATACCACCATTGAGAACCTAAAAGTACTGGACGGCCGTTTCGTCCTATCATGGGACTCGCCAGCAGTGCGCATCTACAATCCTGCACGCGAGAATCGAACGCAGGGACCTCCGTCTAGACCACTTAGTCATAATTTAATGATATTATTGTCCAGTTTCAATCGACCCACAATATTGTGCTACTATTTTCCATTGTCTTCACTCAGTATCTACCTTACACACGACACGGTTGAACTCTACAAGTCACGATTTCCATCTATAAACCCGAAAATTTGCTCTCGAAGATAATCACTGTGGAACATATTGTAGTTGTTGGAATGGGGTTGTGCGTTGAGGAGTTCTGCATTAGAACAAGTGGTCGTCCAGTGCTTCCAAGTTCTCAACGATGATCTAATGTTGATCGGTTCATGGAATTCAGAAGTTCGCACGACCCCATTCTGACAGGTAATAATATTGTTTATTGATGAACGAATGGGTAATCATATAAATGGACTTAGCCATCTTAGTAGGTACAGATTACCTTGTTGGGTTTCTCGTGATTATCGTAACCAATGGTTAGAGACTTAGAATGACATGATTCAACATTGTTTGCTATGGCGCATGTGCGTCCATTCTTTGTTTTCTCGTAAATCATGAGATTCTAAGATCCTCATAAATTTTCTTGTTTTTATTTCACCAATTTACATTTGTTTTCGATACGTGTCTTCAATTCTTAATCTTTCTTATTACCACTGATACTGTTACTACTTCTACTATTCGGGAATTTGACGTGATAATCTCATCTCAGTGTGCTAATGTGGTATTGCAACTTGAACCGATATAAATACATACAGGCTCAACGTTGTGACTGACTCAACGAATGACTGACTTAAATGATTTCGTTGTCTTGATTTCAGATTTTGGCTAATGGATTGTTCAGCTGTACATGAAGCTGCAGAATTTGCAAGTATGCTGTATGCCGAAGCCACATTAGTTCCATATATGGGTAAATTTGTTGTATTTACCAAACGTTTGGATATGGATGAAGCATTAGTTCGATGTTTCTGTGTCACAGATGATAAAGTAGACAAGGTTAGTAAACTATACATTTTTAAATGGTAATATAAATCGCTAATAGACTGAAGTCTAAAATATAAACCGGTAAGTCCCAAATCAGCGGTCTAATGGTTAAGTGTTCCCCTTAAGACCCGAAAGTCCATAGTTGATTCACTAACTTATGTCGTGGATGCACACTGTCACACACACTAATCACACAGTCTCCACAATCTCCCACATTTAATAAAACAAACTTTTACAATTTTGTTTAGAAGACTTATTTGACCGCCTTTTTACAATACAAATTCATTTTTGTTCTGGAGTTATAAACTTATCTGATGTGGAACTAATAGTAACTTCCATGACTCAAATTTCATCCTATTTAAGACTTGTTGGATAGACATTACTCACATCTCACTGTTTTTGTTTCTAGATTCCACTACCAATCACATAACATGTAAACAGTAACTAAAGACTGCAGTTGACCAGCCATTGATCAATATACATGCTTTCTGAGCTAATCTACTCAATATTGTGTTTTAATTACAGGTTTTTACTCAAGTTCTTTTGATGGCTATCGGTAGAATCTTCAAGAGTATTTTGTTCTATTTAGATGTAGTTACAGACAGCTGACGAGTCCAGAAACAGGATACAGCATGGATCCTGGATTCCAATTCTAGGAACTGTCCAACATTACTAGTAGACTAATATTTGTTCTTGAGAAGTCTATCGATCTTACAAGCAATAGTTTAATGATATTTTAAAATTCTTTTTAGGGGATAAGGATGGCAGTTAGGGAGTTTATTCGAACTGGTACCTTTTGATAGTCAGTATTCGTTAATCATGAGAGTAATAAAAATAATGTCACATTGTTTTGTCTGATGTGATATTTGTTTATATTATTGTCACTGATTTTTCTAACAATCCAAACCATTGAAGATTGATCATATAAGCATTATTCAAACAGTATAAACATTCGTAAATTTAGTCATATATTTTAAGATTAATTATTGAACTTATTATTTAGTCGTCAAACCATTCAACTATCCTCCCATACCTTGACTTGCACCTAGTCGATAAGTAGTAGTGTGAAATCTCACGCAAACAAGTGTATAATTCATACCTAATAAGATTTTATACATTGACCCACTATTATAACAACTACTACTGTAGTGAATGAGAACACAGGCAGAGACAACCAAATGCTTTCTAACACAATCTTACATAACGTCTTGGTAAATTTTGAGGACCATACAGTGAATAGTTAATTTGCAAAATGTCCATCAGTTGTCTCAGACTTTGTTGTTCCTTCATTTTCATACCAATTACTCTATTTTCTCGTTCTCTTCTCTTCGATTTTCTTAACCTTCTGTCGCCAGACATCCTACTTTCGATCAGTGATACATACTACTTAAATCTGTTGACATCAGTAACAAACATCACACTACTACTATTACTACTATGTACGACTATTAAGTTTTTATTTTTTCCTAAAAATCACAACATTTCACACACATATTTGTTAACTCGGTAATTCTTGAAAAACGAAATAATGGTGACGTTACCTTTATTCAAATGTAAACTTACCATTATTTTGATTCATATATTATATGAAATGAGTTAAACGTAGTAAGGGATTATATTATAAATTGTTTATATATGTAATCTGTCAGTTAATTGATTCTATGAATTATTTAAGATGAATTTATAGAAAATTGTTTATATTGCATTGCATGATAATGGACAGTTGTTTTATTTCAATTTGGAATGCTGTCCACGTCAGTGTACACGGAAAAACCTTTATGAAATTAAAATTTATAATCTTTGGAATTATTTAATGTTAGTCGTCTGAATGAAGTATAGTTTAGACTTCAGTCATTTTATAGTTATGGATATACTTAAATGTTATATGGTAAGAGATAATCATCAATAAACCTTGAATGTAAGTTTTATGCAAGTTGGTACTTGTCAGCAAAGTGTAACTGCAAACATTAGATGACTGGTGTCTTCTGTGTAATTCAATCAGTTTAAAATGATGCAATGTTACTATTGGGATATTTGAGCCACGACTGACCTTCTGTAGAAGCAATATATTTACAACTAACTGATCACTCAGCAGTAGCTGAGATTCTGAATATTTGTTATCAAATAACACAGAGCACATCATTTCCTTCAAAATTGTTGGTAAGTTATGCTGAAAAGTAACAACAAGCAAAGGAGCTAGGTCAAGGTTTTCTTGCCTCCAACCACCCAACATCAAAGAAACATAATGCACTCGGTGTCCTGTTACTCAGATTAGTAGCTAAATTGAAACTGAATCTATAGAATGTGATCAGAGTGGATAAATATGACATATAAATTAGAACAACATGAAGGTTTTAGTGATAACATTAATGATAACTGATTGGATTTTATTATTACTCTTGCGTTTATGTCAAATATTAATTTAAAACCTGAATAAGCAACATCTAATATGATGAATTTAGTTTGAATAATGGTTTGAAATTGGCTGAAAAAAGTCTCTTTTAAATATCCAAGGAGTAATGCGCTATTATTTTGTTCTAGTTCACTACTCTTCAAGGGTGATCATTTATAATTTTAACAGAAAGTGGGCCTGTGACATCCAGGTAACGCAGAACAAACAGATCAATCACATTAGACTACTGAAATGACTTTTAGTAGTTTTTAAACTTTTGTCAGTCAAAATTGGGTGGATGTAAAAGCACTTTTTAATTTCATTTAGGTTTTGAATTCTAAAATTATATTGTACTTTTATGGTTTGAATCTACTGTTTCTTTTAAAATCTTATCGTCTATGCTATCACTATAATTGTTACAACTTCTAATACTGTGTGATTTATCTTGATAATTTCATCTTACTGTGTTAATACAATGTAGGAACTTAAACCAATGTAAATATGTACTGTCGGATTCTGTGTTGTTTATAACTGATTGACTAATCACAATATTCTATGACGATCATCATCATTATATCAATAGTCAATAAATTGTTGATTTTATGTTTTGGATTTCGATGTTAGGGAAATAGTGTCGTTTAAAATTTTTTTTCTATTTTGTTTTCTTATTTCTATGAAGACATTGGAATGTCAAGAAGGTTTTGAATTGTGTGCTGCTTCACCAGAAGTTGAAATAATTGAAAGTCGACCAGTTTGGCTGGAAACAGCTGGTAATTTATTACCTGTAGCAAAATTAAGTGAACAATTACGTTTACATTTCAATGCATTCCATGAGAATAGACTTGCATTTCCAGTACGTGTAAAAGATCTTCAACAAGAAGCTATTAGTAAATTAGCATTTATGCGTGAACCACGACAACCAATTCGAGTAAGTTTATTTTATTTATTTATTTATTACTGTTGTTAATAAATTATTCAAGGCTAAGGGAAAACATTTTGTTCCTTAAAATTACATTTTATATATTAAACACAAATAGGTAAGTTGTACTTTGTACTCGAAAACCATTCTTTATAGTAAATATTTAGATAGAAGTATAGTACTTACTTACTTGCTTACTTACGCCTATTGCCCTTCGTAGAGGTGCATAGGCCGCTCACCAGCATTCTCCATTGTATTCTGTCCTATGCAATCCTTTCCAATTGTCTGCTTACTGTTTGCGACTCAATGTGTTCCTTGATATTCTTCCTTTTCGCTTCACTTTAAGATCCTAAGTTTGCTCTTGCCTCGTGATGTGATTGATTGATTTTCACAATGTATGTCCTATCCACCACAATCGTCTACTCCTAATTTCCTCTTCATCTGGGAGCTGGTTTGTTCTCTTTCACAGTAGGCTGTTGTTGATGGTATCCGGCTAACGGATATTGAGTATCTTGAAATACTAGGACGAAATATTTGGAATGAAGTAAATGAATTTTCAGTCTTGCGTAAAAATTAAAAAGTAATGCATGAATTTCATCATTCATCTGATGAAATCCACTATGGAAATATATATTTGCATAGTACTGAGAACGTTTAAAATTTTGAAAGAAAATTCTTTTCGGCATGATTTTAAGAGAAATGGTATTGTCAGGTGCATTGATTATCTTCGTTTTCATCCAAAGATTTAGTGTAATATGTAAACCAGTCAGTTTTTTCCAGTTTACTTGAGTATAAGGGGTATTCGTGGAAATGGTCGAATTTTGATTGTTTAAATCACTAACTGGTTTTAGTTGAACCTTTGTGAAAACTCTGTAAGCATTGAAAAGCCGTCTCATTTTAGTACTTCTCTGCATTGCCTATACACGACCCTGTATCTGGCGGTCGAAACTAAGACCTTTGGTCATGTATGAAAACGGTTAACATCTAGACCACTGAGTCGGGATTTAACGACGATAATGTCTAATTTTAATTAATTTGCAGTATTGCGCAACCATCATCTATTGCCTGTGGTGAATAAGAGTTGAACTCCACTGATCACATCTCACTAGAAATCCATGAGATGCATCTGAAACCTAATCACTAGTGACCACATGATTAGTATTTTAGAGAAACTTGTGAAGATTACTAAGTACTAGCGTTGAGGATATCCAGAGTATCCCTCAAAAATGGTCTAGAGGGGCCCTGAAAACGCTGTAAAACATTTGATCCAATTAGCATTGAATGAAAGTTTCTCAGAAACATGTGCCACATTTCTGACTGGATGATTATCTATTTTGCTAGAATGTTATGTTCCAGAACTTACCAGTAGCCCGAAGCTATCTGAAATGCCGTAAATACCCTTGATTTTCTGTACATAAACGAACCTTGGATTAAAGCGTTCTTTCCACATCTAGTGCCTTTTCTCTCTCGTCGAAGTTGTCGTGTTTATTTAGCTTTGGGTTATTAGATCTTAGAAAACTGATTTAAGCGTTCAGCCAGAAGATTTGTCAACTAGGTGATCTGGTGAAGCAGGAATGTTAAAATATGCGACGGTACTTACTTATAAATTCATCATATATTGAGAAAACAATAGTTCTGGTAAATTCATCTACATAACTCTTCAGCCAATTTGATCATCCCAAGATTTTGTTGGTAGAAATGAATTTCCCCATTAAACTATTTGTGGCTATGACAAAGATGCAGAATGTAACTTTGAATGAATAAATTGTCACTCAGCTGTTCAAGATTATTCAGCGATGTATGTACAATATTCTTTATAGTTTATACTTAAACGTCACTAATAACATAAAGAGGATGTTCACTAATAGTGGTTATACAATCAGTTAATTAACGTAAAAACAACCTTATTCTCAATATAAATTTTACATTATTTTTACATTTTCCAAACAGTTATTTATGGTTCAATAGAAAGCCAGTCTATATGATATCTGTTTCACAAGACTTTCATGTTATCTGAACATGGGACACGTTTTTATTGACTGTGTTGTATTCAAATTTCATATTTTTAGGAAGTAATAGATATGACACGTTTTATTTGTATTGTTGTCCAACTATTAAAATATGTCGTTACAGCTAAAATTATGGATCGTGTATTTGTGTAACAGTTTTGGTGATAATGTTAGGTTACTCGCTTTGTTGTGTCTGTTATGGGTGATTAGCTTCACAGACCTATCTGATGTTCATGGTGCTGGTGTGTTGTTTGTTCATCGATCAGATAACGAGCATACTGCATAGTAGTTTACTATGTATTACTTTACGAATGTCAGTAATGATAAATGCTATGCATAGATTGCCAGAGATTGATGATAGATATCCTCAGAGTATTGATAGTGTGGGGATAGAATTACAAAGTGATTAATGTTGGTATTTAGTGTAGAGTACTCTAATATTGAGAAGATTGAATAACGTGTAAACTGTGATTCTTTGTCAATAGAAGTAAAATGAGATTTATGTTATATATCCCCACTCATAATCTACTCAATCAAATTAAGTCAGCTAACTTTGAAGAATTTCGCTCAAAATCGTGGATTGATTGAAGTTGGACAATGATACCTTTGGATACTGACTCAGCAGTCTAGAAGTAAAGTGTTCGCATGCGAAATCGCGGTACCTGGGTTCGAACCCACCGTATTGCGACGAAACGGTCACCCAGTGTTTTTAGATTTACTTTGATTGGTTCAGGATCTCAATGAAATCTCTCAATTTCCACAACCGTATACTGATAACGAAAAATATGTTGCTTATTGTTTTTTAAACTTGTAAAATTCGAATCCTTTTTCTTTGATGTGAACTTCTTAAAATTCATCGAACTATGTAAAGCAATTATACCTTTCAGTAATAGTATTGTTCTCATAATCATTTATGAATTATCGTTGAAATAGATCATAACAATTTTTCTTCAATTTATATGATTCAAATGACATCACACTTTTATCAATATAATTCATCTAACAGAAAGTTTCTAGAATTTACTAATAATTATTTCTATCATTAATCATTGTGAATAGGTCACAAAGTTATTCATCAATGTGATCTGTAACTAGATTATATATAATCCATTTCAAGTTAATAATTTATCTTCAAATTATTACAGTTAGTTAAGCACATAAGCAGTGCACATTAATAATGAATGAAACTAACATGGATTGATTATTTCACCCCCCAAAATCTACTGAATTTTGATGTTCGTATAGCCAGATATGATAATAATGATAATAAGCGGAGTTGACGGAATATGGTTAGCGGCAGAATCCACGACACACGCTTCGTCATATTTAGAACTCGTCATCTGGGTGTGGTTGCATCCCAAGACTCGAACTCCGCTGTTATATCCTAGTGAAGATTAAATTGCGAATAACTTTCGAGGACTATTAATGGACTAACATTCTATAAATATTCTTATAGTATAATCATTCAATAATTAGATTATGTATATTTATATTCCTCTTATTATAAGCTTCATTTTGACCTATAATTCATTATTATACGATTTACTGTCCCTAAATTATGATCAGTTTATTAACTACTGCCTCCCACGTTCACAGCCACTTTTGGCTTTATTGTGTACAAATGTTATTTCCTATTTTATGATGCGTTGAGGTCTGTTTGATTGATATATAAACCCAGTATGCCTGAAATAAATGATTCGATTCGATTCGCATAGTGGGAGCTGGTATTTGGTGTTCTGGACTCAAGTGAACGGGCTAGGCGGACATAGGACCAATAAGGACGCTGAGCTGCCCATACCGGTCGAACGTCATTGGTTTGGCACAGTGATAAGACTGTATAGGTCGTATTATGATTGATGGATAAATCACGTGATAAAAAGCCAGACATAAAGTCATAGCACACGCCCTGTCCGCTTCAAACAACAACGCGTCATCTAATTAGCTACTGAGTACGCGTAGCCATTCTCTTGCACAAAGTGTATGAGCTTTACTCTAACTCGTAATAGATTGAGCACAGTAGCTAACTGGTAAAATGTTGGCATTTGAAGTGAACGATACTGTTCAGAGTCTCGGAGTGAACATCAACTCTGGGATGCAGGTATGGCCATCTGACGAGTCCTGAATAAAACAAAACTCATGTCTTGGATTCCATTGCTAGCCACTATCATGTCTGCTTATAATACACTCAAATAGTTATTAATGCATAACCATATTCTTATAAATATATATTCTGTTTATAACAAAACATGAAGGCATACACTATTAGTATTTATTATTAGTCGGTTCAAACTAATCTAAAACAGGGAAAATTACTGCAATATTTTCATAGTTAAAGAGTAGGTGACTTAAACGTTTGTGATAATGTTTTTACATTTTTTTTCGCGCCTACACTAATGTGATTCATTTGCATTATGTTAGGAGCCTTCGATAATGTTTAGAAAGCTCTTCAAAAACAGAAGAAAATTGTTGAAAATACGATGACCAATTAGTAACTGAAAGGGTTTATGTGGATAATATAGTAATTTCAATAGTTGAGATCATGAGTCAATTGAAGTTAGACCACCTGGAAGCACTGGACGGCCGTTTCATCTTATTGTGGGACTCCTCAGCAATGCGCATCCACCATCCCTCCTAGCGAGATTCGAACCCGTGTTCTTTCGGTTTCACGCGCGAATGCCTGACCTCTAGACCACTGAACCGGCATCCAGCAGTGTTAAGGTCTTACTTCAACTAACCCACGAGATTGATCGACACATTCACCATTGTTTTTCACAACAGACTCGGTTGAACTCCACTGGTCACTGATTTTCACTAGTAACTCATTAGTAACTTTCTATAGAAACTTCTAAGTGAATTCTTGATAACGGCTAATTATCATTTTGTTATCCTGATAGGAAAAATTATTTACTAATCTTTGTTTACAGATTTTTATGAATCTCAGTGTCAAATATAATCCAATAAATACATAAAATAACCTTGAAAGTAAAATACCTTTCATATTTCCCACCTTTAGTTTTTATTAAGAATTGAAAAGTAGAAGATTTTGGCGAACGATAAAGCGTTTAGAAAATAGGTATCCAAGCGTTCAAATACCAAGACATATGGGATAGTACAGGTCTATGTATACCGCTTTTAGCTATATTATTAATATGTGAAAATGAATAGGATCATATGAATCCCTTTATCAAATTATTATTTTCCAATCATTCCCAAAACAAAAGATGAACGAAATAATCTAATAAGAAGAAAAAGAAATGAATAAATTAACTTTTTTCTTCTTCATTATTCATAGGATGGAGATGGTGATTCACAATATATCTATCATGAAATAACTCCTGTTCAAAAACCATTATGTACATTAGAAATTCGACTTAGTTCAGATAATGGTGTTAATGGTCAACATGGTCTTGATCTTTCATTGATTGGTTTAGAAAATCATCCAGAATTTTTAGATCAATTAAATGAAACTAGTGCAGCTGAATTAACAATGGGTTCATTAAGTTGTGTATTCCCATATCCTAAACGTGTTATTAATGATGAACAAATTCTTAATGGACAAAATAATGAAATTAATAAACCTATTGGTGGTAATTTGGCATCAAGTAAGTTTTTTTCCTTTTTTCTCAAATCAATTATAGTAATTTTTTAAACTATTCACTTTACTAAAATATTTATTATATGGTACACAGTAGAATTCGAGACTTATCCAATGGATCTACCTGTATCGCACTGGTATTGTTCACATTATGACTAGATTAGAATGATCATTTATTTTACAGTTCAATTTATATGAACAACTTACTCAAAATCTAAACGTACCATAATTGTCATAAAAATTAAGTTGATGGCTAGAAATTAGATGTAAAATTGTCAACTATTCAAATTAGATAGGTCTAACATTTTATACAACAGCCTGATCCGATTTTCTCCTAGATTTTAATCAAAATCAAAAATGTCTTCGAAATAATGCTTCAGTTTAAAAATTTCCATTCACAGCGAATTCAAGTCGGGGGGGGGGAGGTGGTAACAGGAAATTAAATCTGTCTAGTCATAAGTTGAGCTTCTTTATTAAGTCAGTCAGTCGATTATAAACAAAACTTAGAACCTGGTACATTAATTACTTACCTACTTACGTCTGTTACCCTACGTTGGAGCATAGGCCGCTGATCAGGATTCTTCAACTACCTCTATCCTTGGATCTCCTTTCCAGTTTTAACTAAATGCTACTCGTCATTTCCTTTTCTGCCTCCAATTCCTATCACAATGTGTTGCTTGATCTTCCTCTTTTCTGTGTCTCTTTAGGATTGTTAGTTAGGATTGCCTTGTGATGCAGTTTGATGATTTCTACAATGTATGTCCTAACCACCTCCAACGTCTTTTCCTAATTTCCTCTTTATCTGAAAACTAGTTTGTTTTTTCCCACAGTAGGTAATTGCTGATAATGTTCGGTTAACGGGCATTGAGTATCTCGCGTCGACAATTATTTATAAATACTTGTACTCTTTTGATGATGGCTGTGGTAGCTCTCTAAGTTTCAGCTCCATACAGTAGAACTATTTTGACGTTTGTAATGAAGATTCTGACTGTGATGTTGGGTGATAGTTGTTTCGAGTCCCACATGTTCGTGAGTTGTGGGAATGCTGCCTTTGCTTTGCCGTTCAATGTCTTTGCATCTGCGTTAGGTCGTCCTTGTATATCTGTGATGCTTCCCAGGTCTGTAAAACTTTCCATTTTATTCGGAGTTTCTCCATCAAGTGTGATGGTGTTGATGCTCTGTGTTGTATTTCATGATCTTGCTTTCTCCCTTATATATGTTGAAACGTACTGCTGTAGAGGCTGCTGCTATGCCGGCTGACTTCGCATGCATTTGTTGCTGTGTACGGGATACAAGAGCTAGGCAATTTACGAAGTTCAAATCGTCAAGTTGCATGCAAACAGTCCATTGTATTCCTTGCTTCCTCTCAGATGTGGAGGTATTCATAATCCAGGCGACCACCAGAAGAAAGAGAAAAGGCGAGAGTCATTAGACTTGTCTGACGCCAGACTGTTGATCTCGAATCTGGGCGTCTTCTGAATCCTTCTTCCGGTTCAGCAACACTCTGTTGAAAACTTTTTCTGGTACTTATAGTAGTGTGATGCCTCTGCAGTTCTCACATTTGTTCACATCTCCTTTCTTTGATATTTCGATCGGGTATCCTTCTTTCCAGTCTGTCGGCACTTGTTCTTTCTCCCAAATCTTCCTGAAAAGGACGTGAAGCATACTTGTTGTTACTTCTGTTTCTGGCTTCAGTGTCTCTGCTGGAATGTTGCTTGGTCCTCCTGCTTTCTTCTCTTGATTAGTCTGATGGCTGCCGTTTTTGAAGCTCGAATGAATGCGGGATTTCAGTTGAAGCCTAAACACCTTGATGGTATTAACTCATATGGTGAAACTGGTTGATAGCACGGCGTTCAATCCGACAAGGAGCAATAATCCTCTCAAGATTGTAGGTTCTTTTTACTGATATGTGGTAACTAGCTTAAAATGATGGGTAAAACAGTATTTTCCTACCTACACCTGTACTACTTATCAACTACTGTAAATGTATTTTATCTCAACTTGTTTTTTCTGTCTCTCTCTTTCAATTAGCTTATACATCAGATGTAATTGCTCGTAGTCAAATTGATTTACTGCAAGTTGCTAGTGAAATTGGCTCAGATTGGCCTAAACTAATCGAATTCCTCTTACCTCAATCTCATTTAAATAGTTCATGTACTGTGAATCAATTAGTTAATTGGATTAATGAAAATGAGCCAAAATGGCAAATTAAAAGAAATCAGTTAGCTATGGAAATGGGTAAAATAACAGGAGAAAATGACGGAGGTGATGTAGTTGGCAGTTTTGGTGGTCCAATTAGTGTAAATGAATTACGTACAATACAAGATCAAGCATTAGCGGTACTATTGGCATGGCGTGAAGAAAATGGAGATTCAGCCACAGGTATGATACAATAATAATAATAATAATAATAATAATAATAATAATAATAATAATAATAATAATAATAATAATAATTGCATACACTAAGTTCCTCTTTATCAACTTTAAAGGACTCATAGTTTATTTCATGTACTGACTATAGTTAAATAACCATTTAAAACAAAGGAGCACTAGAACAGCTGTTTCATGTGTGTTTCATGTTTGAAAGGACCTTTAGGCGCTGTGATAAAGTGTAAAACATTGGTTACCAACTCATTAGTCTAAAGATTAAGTGTTCTATGTGAAACTTGTGAGTTTTGGGTTAGATCTTTGATAGGCTCGTGGATACTCACTGCGAAGGCACTGCGTACTAGAACGAAACAACGATTTTGTCCCTCATGACTTGTATCGTTCCTGACTAAGATCATTTTATAATGTAAAATGTCAAAGTTCTTATAGATTTATTATTTATTTCCAAGCTAACCAACCTCAGAATTTAAATACATATTTTGTGAATCATAAATCTCTGAATTTGATTATATCCCTTATTTATCATGTTTAATAAAATATTAAGCGTGAGCTTCACGTATTCTATTATACTTTCTTACTACAACAAAACTTTCACTATGAGACGTCATAACTCCTCTTTACGATGATCCTTCTCCCTCCGAAGGATGAGTTTAACTAATTTTTTTGCATCCAGTTGTTTTCTACGAGATAAAGTTGATGGCTTTACTCCCAATGCTATTCCTTCACACAGTTTCGAGGCCTACAGTTTCTCCCAGACAGCTTCACTTAGAGTTATATGTATATATTCATTGATGGTTTTAATTAAAACACCATAGTCTGATGTTGTTTTTGGAAATTGTTTATTACATTTCTATTTCCAGGCTTCTATATATCATTTCAATTTGATCTTGATATTGTCACTGAACAATCACAGTAATCTTTTCCTTCAATTCTTTCCGTGTTCACTTACTTTCCTTTCTTATTTGAATATTAAAATGTGTATACCATTTTAAATACCTACATATATAGATACAATCAGATATGATGATTCATTACAGTCGTGTTCAGATAGACTTATTGAATAATGGATTAATGGAATTGTTTGTCACTTTTAGATAAACATTTCTTTGACAAAGTTCATCTTCTTATTATACTATCTAATTGTATCTAATTTACTATACCTAGTTCATTAGATTGTCACATTATTTTAATTAGAAGTTAGCTTGATAGGTTTTCTAAATTTCTCTATTTTCACAGAAAATAGTGTTTTTTAAAAATTATTTAGACCTTCATATATTATTAGAAACGACTGATAATGTCATGAACACCGGCGTCGAAATTAAGTATTTCTGTGCAAATCAAAGGAGAAATGGATACAATATTGGTTTATTTTGTATTATCTTTAATTGAAATACTATTTAGTCGTAATGAATGTTATCAACTGTATACGGGATCAAAACTGATAATTTTTAAATCTCATTGCTAATATGATGCATTTACACCTTCAAAGTAGTCAGTTTTCGATAGTTTACTCCAGCACTTGTTAGCATTTATTGATTTTCAAGGGAATTCGTTAAGCCTTAGTAGAAAATAATTTCTACCTCCAGATTAAAAATTGCTTCTTCATAAAACTTCTGAAAAAAAGTGTTTTTAGGTACCTTTTGAAAAAAACATAATTTCAAGTCACTGACTTGACAGAATGACTGACCAAAGTCTCTCAATCACAAACTTCATATTTATTATCATTAGTTATGAAATCATATTGTCATAACTAATTCTGGTGATCATGTTCCGAATATAGTTGATAAAATATGATTTTATTTCAAGTTTAAGGTCGTCTAAATTAAATTAAAATGTTACTTACGCCTGTTATCCCTCACGGAGGAGCATAGATAGCTCAACATCACTCTCCATCCAACCCTGTCCTGGGTAATCCCTTCCAGTTCTTTCAAGTGTAAGATCACTGACAAGTAATTAACTTTCTCTACAGAAAACTTCTTTTAAGATTATCAGTTTGAAATTTCATTGATTATCCTAATAATACATTTAAATGACTTGTATTAAATTAAATAGATCCGTTGAACATACCATATTGGTAATGTTGAACGAAATCTTCTACAAAGAAGGTTTCATTTTGAAAACATTTCCCACTGGAAATAAAATCACTTCTTTATGGATTTCATGCTCAGAGATAGTTATTAAAAACATTTGAGAGTATAATGAATAAATCTAGTTCAATCTCTGGAGTTTCAAAATTCTAGAAAGAAACTGTTTTAATGACTTCATATTTGGTTGCATTACACAAATGTTTTACAGTTATATATTTTGTTATGTCATTAATAACTTGCATAAAGTGGCGACTCGTTTACTTGGCTTCAAGTCATATTCTAATTGTATGAGCTAGTAGATATACTACCCAGTAACTCAAACTTAATTAGGTGAAAAAAGGTTCATACCTGTGACTTTGTAGCTGGAGGTTAGACTAATTAGCTATTGAACCACTTGTTCACTTAATTTCAATGAGCATATTCGTACATAACATCATTATCATTGTTATATTTATTATTATTTTCGTTTCATTTCACAAAAAAAGGTAATGAATTAGATTACGCACTTCGTCAAATTGGCCGTGAAGATGTCATTAAATCATGTATGCGTGATATTCGCTATGTACTTGATGCTGATGAACATGCAAAGGTGAATATGACTTATGCATTTCGTATTATTTCTTATTTCTAAAACCATTATCACATTTCATTTTAATCATAGATAATTTAGGTAATTAATGAATTACATAGTTTATAGAGATTTTCTTCATTTTAACTTGTTAAATCCAATTGAAAAGTGAGAAGTGAAAAAAAGTTAGCTATCAAAGCACACAGAATGTGAATGATCAACCTATTGAGTTCTAAAGTATGATTCATAAGGTTACCAACAGGATAACAAGTCGATGGAATTCGATTAGTACCAAAGGATAATACAAACCTGACATTGATCAATGACGAGTCACTTGTGGACGTCTAAGTCCTGGAGAAGGTCAGTTTGTGGCTCAAGCAGCTCAGTGACATTGTAGACTGAAAATCTTTGGTGCAGCTTCAAATCCTATAAAGATAATTACTTCCTGCAAGATACTATGAAGGAAAGAAAACTGAAAGCAATCAAGATAGCAACAAGAATGAAGTGCTAACAAAGTTTATGAGAAACAATTCAAAGAAGATGTGAAAATGTATGATTTTCACATTTTACTAAACCACTGTAAGATTTTGCATTAAAAAAATTGGTTATCTCAACTAAGTCTTCGTTCACTACAGCTGCACCTACACCTTACTTACGAGTGTCAATCAGCATAAAACATAAATTCAATAACTTCTGTCTACCATCCCCCAATTAAATAGCATCAGAACTTGATGTTTCACGGGTTTGTTGCTATACTCCCATGCCCTGAGCCCCTACATACAAATGGCGTTGTAGACAGGAGCGAATTGATAATGAGTTCCAAACAAACACTAAACAATTATTTCCATTTATCATACTGAAACGTTTGCCTAATTATATTGTTTTTCCTAAATTCAACTATCCTCTTATATTTCATAGTTCCTAATAGTTATCATGTCAAAGCATATCCGTAACTCTCAACAAATCAAGGATCATCACTTTTTTGTTATGTAGTATATCCCATGAATTAACAATTTCATATTTAAAGTCATTCAGTTTACAGAGTTATTTCAAAATACGTTTTGTACAAGATAAGGAAATTTGTCACACTCATAATTTAATATCGACATTTTTATTTTTCTAAGTAAAATAAATTAAAATTCATAAATCACAATGTATTTACTTATCCTATGGTCTTCATTCTAGAATATAGATATGCTTACCAATGCCCGATTATAATGGTATTTCTTGACCTTAAGGTGACATACGACCCCAGTAATCTACAGGTTCTGTGACAATGTTAGCCATTGAAGGGTTACCAAAGTAGCATGTAAAGGATTTTAATTAGAGTTTATAGAGAACTGACATTAGCACTGATAAGATCATTTAGTGTTCGTTAGGGTTAAAACTTCAAGAAATGGATATATGTGTATCAAGTTGTATGCTCACCATTTATTTTGAGAGTCGTCTTTCTCCATTTACAATTTGCTGTTTATTTCTATTTATTTATTACTTTCAATCACTTTTTCAGGCTACGCGTCAAATAGATGAAGGTAAACGTTCAGATCCTGTGAATCCTAATTTGTCAGATCCTTTCTCAACTTCTCTAGCAGCAACATCAACTTTAATGTCTGGCATGAATGACATAACAGCTAATGATGTTGGTGATCAGTCTATGATTGGCTTTGATAGAATAGATGCATTAAAACATCCAGATGTAAGGATTACTCCGATGCCAGATGAATCAGAGCTGATTCCTCAAACTCATCTTGGCCTAGATAGTCAAAGTCCAAGAAAATCCGATGTCATTATTCATGGTAGTGGTGATGAAGAAGAAGAGGGACGACCTTCTCCTGCTTCACAACAAGGTCAGACTGAAGTAGAAGAAGACAATGAAGAGTTTTGGCAACAACAACAACATCAAGCAGGAATTGAACCAGCTTGTTCAACTAGTCAACAAGGTGGTGATCCAATGGTTGTACAGAAACATGATGAAATAATAGTACAAGAAGAAGCAGATATAATTCGCGACAGTGAATCAATGAGCAGTTCTGAATTGATTGCATCTACTTTACAAGGTTCTCAACAAGAGATCTATGATACAGATGCGAAAATTGCAGGCACATTAAAGTTAGAAGGTGAAGTTGAAGAAGATGCACTTCAGAGTCAACGACAGCTGGAAAATATTGCAGGTCATCATAGAGGTGAGATTAATAATGTTGCTTATTTCATATAACAATCTATCTTCATTTTGTATATAGTTTAAAATAAAACTTAATCGGGTTCTTTCCTTTATCTTGTATGATTAACACCATAGTCTAATCTTTGTCATATAACATTTGAAAACTGGAAAGTAATGGACAGCTATTTTGTTCCGGTGTTGAACTGATCGGCAGTACCCACTGATGACCTGACCTGGGACCAAACTCATGACCTTCATATCTCATGGAGAGCACTTAACATCTGGTCTACTGAGTCAGCATCCAATGAATGACGTTTCTAATCCCAGCAAATTTTCAGAATTGTGCGACCCCCCATCAATTTTGTCAGGTGGTAGCTGTCTCACACCTGACATAGTTAAACTCCACTGATCATAGCCTATCACTGTTCGATCGAAAGTCATTTATGAATATATAGCAGCTATATTGTCTAAATGTTGTCTATTTACATGTGTTGTAAATATCTTCCAAAACCCAATATTAGATGCTATCATGTCATACAATAATTCAACATTCTTTATAAGTTTCATTTCATTGGGAACATACAGAACGTTATAAAGAGCAATTGATACCTATATGGTGGTTGACATTAAGTAACCGGCCTATATGATTCCCTACCACCCCTTTTAAAAAAATTGTGGGGTGTGAATGAAAAATTTAGGTATCGTTGATTGGTGGACTTGTTTTGCAAGTGTGTGCTCATGTGATAATGAACAAACATTTTGTTACCTTTATTAATTTTGTGATTGGTCGTAAACTGTTCATCTTTGTAATCTGATTAGTTGAAATCGAAATCACATCTGGAGCTGTGATTGGATGTCAGAATTTTCATTTCTTACATTTGAAATTTAATGATAATGAATAATTTTTTTTGTGTAATCTTAGTCTTGAAAATAATTTAGACTTTTGAAGAAAAAGACACCAACTTAATTGCATTACCGTGCAATCCTACTGTTAGTGAATGTGTATTGGGATCAATTTTTGTTTTCCGATCAAGTATACCTTGAATTGAAGTCGTTAGTTATCGGAACACGAATAATTACATGTATCTCAGTAAAAGAAAGTTTTTGGAAAAAAGCAACTGAAAACCGGTTTGAATATTTGATAATAGTGATTACTGAATGAGGTCGGTAGTCCAATATTCAATACCAAATTACTAAACAAATTATCACTAAAGTGTATGCATAGGTTTTTTTGTAACACACGGTGTGTTAATGGGAAAAAGAAATCAACATATCAATAAATCATTATGATAACTTACTAGTTGCAATATTTATGATTCAGGTGAAGCAATCATAGACCATAATTTAATGAACTGACTTTGACAGTATATGAAAGTAGTAATAAATTTTCCGAAATAGACACTTAATATTTAGTGGACGTTTATTTTGTAAATGGTCATTCTTAATAAGAATTAGAAAACGTTAGATTTCAATTCGGTTAATTTTAAAAGTCTATTGAAACGGTTTATTGTTTTCACTTGTAAATTATTTGTAGTTCTGTATTTTAAAATTAATTTTTTGGTCGTAATAAAAACTAGTTTGTTTAATCAGTCATGTGTGAATATTGTTAACCGGCGTAATATGAAAGCTGAACTATATCTAGACATTATGAATGTAACCATTTTTGACAAGCATTTGAAATATCAGTTTCATGAAGTGTAAATGAACAACCGTACGTCGTTAAAGTAAATATAAAAGGCAACTATATATTATTATTATTATTATTATTATTATTATTATTATTATTATTATGTCAATTGACAAGATTCAATTCTTGTACTATGTATTTCATTGACACAATATTTTTTGCATTTTCAATTTTCCTATAATGCTTAGTCACTTATTGTGACTGAACACTTTGCTGCAAATCATCCTGACCTTTATTGAATGACCTTTCTAATTTGTAAACATATATATCGTTACAGATGTAAACGTTAACCATTGTTAACACATTACATTGTCAAATTCATAAATGTCATGCCTTATTTTTGGACTTTATAAAATATTAAAATTATGGACTTATAACTGTATAGTGTGATGATGTTTTGAATATTTTAAGGGAATTTTTAACTGGTACAATGTGATTGTACCAGTAATAAATAGTTGAAGAGGTGTGCAAATGAATACGGTGATATAATCAGTAGTTATGAATAACAATGAAGGCTTAGTTGACGATCTGACGTACTTCTTAATCACATTCATCTTTGTAATTATCTTATTACATTCACTAATAAATGTCATCATAAATTTATTGACCTAACGACAAAATTACGATTTTCACTAATTTAAAATATTCCTATTAAAATGTACTCAAAATGTACTTTTATTAGATAGTTTACAAATGTGTTACTAAAACATGAACGGTAATCGCATTATTTTAAATATAAAATTACTAGATTAGTCTTCATTAGATGACAAAATCTTGTCCAAGTTTTCTTAACCTTTATATCTAATAAACGTTAGAAACAAGTTTACGAATACATGAGCGATAATCGCTTTTCCATTATTAATCTCTAAGGCATATCTAAATTCATGAGACATTAATAAGTGCTTAATCACTTGACCTTTGCCGCGGAAAAGTAGTAGATAAAAAATAATAGAAATCAAATTGTGGGTGGCCCTGAAAAGGGCCTTTACTCGTTCTCGCGGTCGGACGTCGTCACTATTAGTTTGTAATGGCGCCACAGATAGGACAGTGCACTGCTCGTACGTTCGGCGATGGGTCGTAGGCACAGAAGGTATGAAACATTGCTTCACATCTACAGAAAACCCAACCAACCGCATCACCGGTTTCACACGGAGGCTGCGCAAGATTACAGATGTCGCAGAGTCGATTCTCGTCATCCTCTTCTTCATTTTCGATGTCCCGTTCAGTTAACTCTTCGGAGTTAATAGAAATTACTTCCTCCTCATCGTTACTGAGCGTTTCATCCAAATCAACAGTTCCTCGTTGTATAAACGGCACTGCTATCTTAGTCGAGGTTCTTGAAAGGGTGTACGAATGCTGTTCTCCATGCAAGTTTACTGGCGTTGTTGGTGTTTTTCGATTGAGGTGATACATCTTCAACACTCGGTGACTGGTCTCGACGAAGTTCGTATTGTTCAGTTCAAAGAGAGTGGATGGCGGTCGAAAAGCAGTGGACCATTTGTGTTTCCGTGATAGAAGGTGGTCTCTGACGTATCTGCCAAACGTTCCGTCCGACATTTCGATTAACGAAAGTACGTTGTTAAAACTACAAAATCTTGTTATGTAGATTTTGATTTACCTTTCAACCGTTCGAGTGAACATGAGGCGAAAGAACAGTTGTACAATTTCTGATCGCACTCTCTACAATAACGGTTACTGGGTTAATATCACATTCCGAACAAGGTGTACGCGACACAGAATATGGTGTGCATCCGGATACACCTGCGTAATAGCAGCAGCAATTGCAGGTGAATCATCGGTCACAATGCCTACCAGTTGTCGACTGTTGGTACACCGTTGGAAAAAATGCAGGAAGGCAGAAATGAATGTTGACGTTTCGCGACTTAAAAAGGCAATGCACATGGGTATTGCCTTAAAATTCATATCCAGGGCAACGACTTGATATAAATGGACGTTCTCGTTATTCGTTTTGTACGTCCCGTCAAAACCAATTACGTCACAAAAGTGACCGGCCAAATTCACTTGCTCAGCAGTCATGAAGAAGAAATACGATAGATAGTTCTCATCGTCCAATTCGTATTCGCAAAGCCCACCCAAGGATGTTATGTGAGCTTTCAATTTCCCGTAATCACCTATAGTGTACATTATAAATGGCAAATTCCGTACCAGGAAGGTTCGCGTGTGAGAACACTTTGTACGGCATATTGTAGATATCTTGAGCGGTCACACATTTCCCATGAGATTGGTAAGCAAAATTCTTTATGTGGAATGCAGCGGTACCGGAAATCAGCAGCGGTCTCACAGTTTCAAGCTCCCCATCGATCTTTCAAAATTTGTGATAGTGGTCTTTAATGCTTCAACCGATGGAAACCGAAACACGGGATGAAAAATATTGTAATTTGGGGTTGGAAAATTTTTTTAAAAATAAATGGCCGGTCGGACAATATTATTCCTATATGGTGCAAAATTTCAAGACTTATGCTTTAGTGGTTAACTCCTTGAACTGAAATCTACCTTTTTTAATTGTTTTGGTCTTGAAATCATGAACCGATCTAAGTTAGATCACCACTGAAACTTGGAAGCGCTGAACGACTGTTTATTCTTGCATCAATGACTCCGCACGTGAGAATTAAACCCAGAAAATTCAGCCTCACGTACCAACATTCAACCTCTAGACCGCTGAGTTGTCATCCAGCAGTTTTAATGTCTAGGTTCAGTCAATCGACGATACTGCGCCACCATCTTCCATTGTCTTCAGCTAGTAACTGCCTAACACGTGATATTAATACTATTGGCTGCCGGCCCAGTGTTCTACAGGTTAAACGTTCTCGCGTGAGATCCAAGGTTATCGGTTTGGGTCATTCGTGCAGGATCGTGGGCCCACACTACTGAGAAATCTGATACTAAGACGAAATGACCGTACAATGATTCTAGGTTTCAGTGGTGGTCCAACATTGGTCGGTTCATGATTTTAATGTGATTCGAAATTCTTCACATCCGTATATTGTTTTGGTTTTCTCCAAGAAGTAGTAAAACAAATAATTTCATATACAATCAGAATAACTTTCTTGTTCTGTTATGAAATTCCTCAACAATGCGCCAGCATGACGTCACAAAGGATTAAATATAAGACTTCTAGGTCCCGTTGACGAAACAACTATCCACTGCTTCCTCGTTTTTAGTGACTGTTCAACTAAGACCAGTCAGTATTAACTATAATATACAACATTCTTCTCAAACTCGTGTACTGATTAATATTGTCAGCATGGAGCCTAACATAGATATGCGTTGCCCAAGTTGCCATACTACACTAGCATAAAGACATAAAAATAAAAAAGAGATCGAGATGGTGTAGTGGCGATGACAAAATGAAAGACGAAACCTTAGGAATACGACTTTAAAAGACAGTAGAGTAGTATGTATGACGAAATACTGTAATTCAAAATATGGAGGAAAACAAAGATTGAATCTATCTGCACCATTGTGAACGATTCTGAGATATGTCATCTAAAGTCTCCAGTTGCCGATAATGGTTATCATTCAGACTACGACTGGGAAGTCAGTGACTTTATGGATTGATGTCACATGTTAGTTTGTTCACCCCTAGCTTACTTTCAACCTCTTTCTCCACTAGTAAGCATCGCTTGTCAGAGTATACAGTTATAAATTTCATTGTTATTTGTTGTATATTTAGAAGCGGACTTATTATCACTTACACAAATTCATCAAAAAGAACATAGTATTACTAGTTTATCAGAGGATAATAACGGTGATGCTGGTTTAAAACAGTTAACAAGTGCCAATAATACCAACACTAATGATATAACAACTTCAACTAGATCGCAACCTACTAGTGAACATCGTTGGGATCAAGAAGATGATCTATCAGATATTGTTTTACAAAACGAAACTGATAAAATGAGTGAAACCGATATTCAGTCGTCACATGAAGGTAAGTCTTTTTATTTCTTTTTATTTCAAAATAATTGTTATTATTTTTTTCCTAAGGATGATGTACTTCGGTAAAAAAGTATAAGTTCTTGTAACTCACTTTCTTCGGGTAACAGTTCATACACATATTTGTTGGTTGATGATGCTATTAGGCTGCCTGTATAAAAATGTGAAATATATTCAGTAGATCTGGCTGATGAAACACGAATAGGATGAAACGAACCTTCTGGATCCCACAACTGATCACTATTCAACTGTGATGAAAAAAGTAAAGTTTTAGAGTGTTGGAGCTTGTAAATTCGCTCAGTTGTTCAGTCGAACAGCTTTATTTATCAAATAATCACTTCTTGTATTCTACAAAATTGCAAGCTTTTAGCAGAAGATTTGATATTTAGTAGTCGATAATGAAATTATGTTATCAACTTAAAGTATTATACTTGTAGTTAAATGAACAAAAATATTCGGTAGGTGTTTGTATCGGTCAAATATACGGTTATGCTTTGATTTGTAAGTTATTTTCATTACAGTTTCATTTCAGTCAGATCACTTCTGAAAACTAGGGAGTAATAGACAGCTACCCCATTGTATCATGAAGCTCTTCACAATTGCGTAACCACAACCCAGCTAGACATCGAGCTCAGGACATCTAATTCTTTTATCAAATACTTAACTATTAAGACCACAAGGTCGTTGTTGAATGGTACAGTTTCAGCTTCAATCAATCTACAGTGTACTTTAATGATTATCCACAGTCATTGATAACGACAGTTGTACTCAAATTATGCTTTACATCTCATTTCTAGTTGTATTTGGTTTGATAAGAACGTATAAATGGATGGTTGAACTAGATATTACTAGTATTCAAGCTAATCTTTGAATCCTTAAAGTTTCGTAAAGTACACCTCTGTTTGGAGTCAGTAAGACTACGCTTTCTATAAAGGTATTGTTCTACAAGGGGATTTAGAGTGAGAAAGGTAGTTAGTGGACTTGTCACATCCTCACCCGTACCTTGACATTTGGAGAGGACTTAATCGTCTCTTTCCTTCCTTCATTTCTAGAAAATGTTATCTCTCTTCTTTTCTGACATCATTTTGGTCCCACGTTGTGTAAGAATGTATCTCTATTAAATGCGAAAATAAAAACTTCATATCTATCATTTAGACAGAGCTAGAGGGCTGCTAACAGTGGAATCCAGGACGTGCGTCTTATCCTATTTGGGACTTCTCAGTTGGATTTGCTTGCACCAGTGTTGATGGTCACATCGGAACTCGAACGCTGTAACTTTCAGTTCAAACACCCGACGCATTATTCACTTAGCTACTAAGACTATATAGCCGCTAGCTTGTGCAATAGGGTGAATTTCGATTTAAGTTTTAATGGTTGCCTGAATCTTCCTGTTGATGTCATGGACTGCAATTGATAAGTCCAGGCGTATTTTACATTCCACTGATAACTACTATCCAACTTAGGTTAAAAAATGCTTATGACTGATGGAAAGATCAAGGGAATCCATTGAAGAGACTCATATGTTAGAAAAAGCCTAGATCAATTGCAATCCATTACATTAACGGAAAATTCAAACACTCAATATGAATGAATTTATATCTAGCTGTCTATATGTTATGTCTCTTTATCATTTACTTTCTATTCTAGTGACGAATAATGAAACACCAGATGTAGATATAAGACATGCTCATCATGTTGGCTATACATCAGATCAACCGATAGATAATAATCATAGTAGTATAATGCAAAATCTTGAAGCATATAATGAACAAGATGTTATTGGTGATAATGAATTGGATGTTATGGAATCATCAAGACAACGACAAGATAATTCTAATGAACATCAACAACAACAACCTTCAATCGTTGCTTCATCAAATGCACATCATGGTCTTGCATCTATTCCACATAATGAAGATGGTGGCAATGCTGTTGAATAGAAAAAATTGCTTAGAAAAAAGAAATACGGAACAATAGTAACAACAAAATAAACGAAACATCTCAAAGAGAAAATCCGGTTTCATGTAGTTGTTATTTGCCATGCTTTTTTTTGTGTAGATTTTGTTTTATATTCGTTATCACTTTAATTGTTTTCTTCTTTATAATAAGAACAATAAGAATGTGGGTTAATGATGAGAGGGCATTAGGGAGAAAAGCTATTCATTGCATTATTGTTGTCTATCTTTCTTTTTATTTTCCACATTCTCTCATATGCACAAACTTCGCTATGCCTTATCTAGTCATTAAAAAACAACAACACAGCATCGATGTTCGTTTCACATGTGTTGTACACTTGCACACACACACCATCACCCGTTCCTCTTTCGTTGTACTCCTTCAATGTTCGACTTACCATATTCTATATATTGCTTGATTTCTTTTTTTTTGACTACATCTCGCAATACAATACAATGTTTTATGCAAGTCATAATAATAAATAATTATGTAATTTTAATTTCTATGTATTATTTTTTTGTTTCTATTTTAATTGATTAAATGGTTACACTCTTTACTGCTATTTGAATTTTAGTTATTGTTATTGTTATTTGAAGAGATAATTCAAGGTGGAAACCTTTCAAGGAATAAAAGTAACGAGAAAAGATACATTCACACGCACACACACTGAGAAGAATCATTACAATTCAATAAACATACAAAGTTTCCCTATTACTATTTTGTTTGTTTGTTTGTTTTTCTTTTGATGTAACACAAGATTTTCGTTTGTTTTCATCCGAAACGATGATTTTATGTTTGAATGTAGAGAATTTTCTATTGAATGTTAATCTAATCTTTCGATATATGGGTGTGTTGTTGTTTTTCCTTCAGTGCTACAGGATACTTTAATTCGTTATTCTCTTTACTTCTCTGGTTCTATCATACAACAATCTTTATGTTATTTTCAATTGTTTGTTAGCAATATACAAATAAATAATGCTTGAATAATAATGGTTATCTAGTGACATGTTTATTAGTTAGCTGTTATAATTGAATACTATTAGTACTACTACAGCACTACTGCTGTATTATCCTTAACAGTAATAATAGTAATAGTTAGAATTGAGTACTGAGAACTTTTCCAGTATTTTTTTTCAATTCATTGATAGAGTCTGATCTATATGTTTAAATATAAATTAGATTTACTATTAATGTTCATTATTGATTATTGTCACCGCCATTATCCATATTCGCCGACCTCATCCTCAATATTATTATTATTATTATTTCGATAGGCTATCTCTACTAAATTCTAAAGTACTGTTTACTCTATCTATGACCGTTTTACACCTCCTCCTCACCATTATTATTATTATTATTATTGTCGCCACCGTCATCATCATTGAATATTAATCTTAGTAACATGTGACAGTCATAATAATGATCGTGTTTATTATTGTGTTATTGAACAATGAATTACTGATTATATTGTTATTTTTCCATTGCATTGTCTGTTCTTTCTGTTACTTAATTACATGTTTTTCTCTCCGAAAAATCAAATGTATGTTTCTTCGGTTTTTATTTCTACCTTAAAATAACCTCCTGTCTTGTTTTATGTGAATGTTGTGAGTGCGTGTGTTTATGTTAATTTATTTTCCTGCTTTTCTACAAGGATAAAATGACCAGCTAGTTAAGTAAAACTATTGTATACATCCTCACATTATGATTATTATTGTTTCATTGAGGTGCATCTTCATCAGTTTATTGTATTCTCGAATAACGAATATAAAAATACCAGTGTATGTGTTTCCGTGTTTTTAACCACGTTCATTTGAACATTTGTTCATTTTTATGAGATCAACTGAACAAGAGTTTTAATCTTTTGATTTTACTCAATGTAAATGAACCCAAGTTGAACAACAGATAGAAATTAGGAAGCACGGAATAGCCGTTTAATCCTGGTATGTGGCTCCTCGAGAATGTACATGCGCAATCACACTAGGAATCAAATGTAGATTTTTCGGTCTCATGAATCAGCTTCTAACTCTATACAACTGATGTACATGTCTAACTTCAACCTATCCGGGATAGTTTCGCAACCAACTTCCATTATCTTCCGGGGGATAACTGGTTAACATCTTACATAATTGAACTCCACTGGTGATGGTTTTCTGGTTTTGCAATGGATATAAAACTTGGGTTGGTTAATGATGTCAGGAATATTTAATAATCTTTATAAGCCTCTGTACTGACGATTAATAAATCATTTAAGGAAGAAAAAAGCAGGTGGGGGCACGAATGTATAAAGATGAGCGTAAACAGAAGAAATTATAATTCGGACGTGTCATGAGTAAAGTAGTATTCATCAATCAGATTGACTGTTTGCTACCATATATATTAAAGAGTGATTGACGTTGGAATTACACTACCAGATATCTCCCTAGTAATTTTATGAGTTAAATGCTCGCCACATGACCTGAATGTCTTGGTTTAGACACCTGGTGGAATAATGGATGCACATTATACGATTAAAATTACATATACTACCTTAACTCCTGAATGACCATAATAGGAGGAAGTTCAACGTCTCCACATTCTAATATGCTTTGCATTATATTTAAACTTTGGTAACATCTTCTAATTGACTCGTTATCAAGCTTAAAGTCATGCCTTGCTTAGATATAAGAAAAACTCTCAGTTATTATTTTGCATTGTATTTGTTCATTCAAATCCCAAAAGATTTGAATATTTTAAAACACATTATTAACCATCCAATAATATCCCATACTTTGATATTCAAACACTGACGATTACAGATAGTTAATCTATGTGATGTTCAAATGTTGATTTCATTTATGATATGCATGTATCGTTATGTTACGTGGTTGAAAATAATTGGAAGGAAATTATGAACCTAGGTTTGAATGACGTGAGTTTGAATCCTACAAGAGGGAATTAGTTCCCTCAAAATCAGAGGTACACCTTGTTGAAACATAAATCAGACAGAATTTCCTCTTAGACTACTTATGTCTTTCGGATAAGTAGTATGTAACATCAATCAGAACTAGAATGCCTTTGTAGTAGAAGTCTAAGTAGATCGAGTTCAAAAAACGGGAACTAGAAATGAATTATGAATTGAATCACACAGAATTTGAAGGGTAATTGATGGAAGATTTGCAAATAAAGTATTGAATGTATAGTTCTCATATTTTACGAAGATATTCTGTAATGTTAAACTAAATAATAAATAAACAGTATTCGATCACCATTAAAGAAATAGGCTATTCCTTTGCTAGCTTGGTTTGATTCCTTTCTCGGCAATCGACATCAAATATTTAAAATTAACTCTTCATTGCCTAACGTTGTCCCTGTTAAAAGTGGTGTAATACAAAGCCCTTTGCTCTTTTTAGTGTTTATCAATGATATTTGTGAAAGTTTTTGTGTGGGTAAGCCCCTTCTATATGCAGATGATCTTAAAGTAGTATATTCATTTTCTCCACATGAGCCGAAAAATATTCGAAATCGCATCAGCATGGAGCTTAACAAAGTAACACAGTGGTGCTTAAAATGGCAACTGGATCTTAATACGGCTAAATGTGAATGAACATGCTTCGGCGATACATCACTCAACTTAGATCTTACCATGAATGCTGAAGTGTTGTCTAGGTTACATACAGTAGTAGACTTAGGACTTTGATACTCCCAAAACTTGTCGTTTACAGAACAGATATTAAAACAGACCTCTAAGTCTCAACGTCTAATAGGTTACATAACTCGAAACCTTTACAACAATGAGTCACGTATTTTAATGTACAAAGTTTGTGCTCGACCACTTCTAGAATATTGCACGTTTATTTTTAGCAGTGCACGCATAAAGGATAGATTAAGGCTGGAATCAGTACAGTGACGATTTGCACTTCGTATTCTTGGAGCTGATTGTACCTTAACTTATAATTCTAGATGTAATAAACTTGGGCTAGACCCTTTATGGAAGAGGAGACTCAAACTAAATCTTAATTTTTTCTTCAAACTACTTCATAAACTATCGTTTACATCCAATCACGTGATTCAATATGTAGAAACTTCTCATTATGACATCCGTAATTCCTTGGCACTAGTGAAACAAACTCATTCTAAATCATCTTTTCATATGAATTACTTCACCTATAAATTTTCTAGACTCTGGAATAACCTATCACAATCTATCAGTACGATAAAGTCACTCCCATTATTTGTTCGCTGCATCGATGCATACTGCTCCTCTGAAAATGGATTGAATGCTCTAGCACCTATAAGTGTATCTCATTCCATAAGTGATATTATAGAAACTTTAAATGTTTAGCCGTTTTATTAGTGCATTCCCTAAGTAAAAGCACTTACTTGCTGTCACTTTATGGTAACCCCGTCCCTAGCAAGTTTAACTAATTTGAATAACATCAACAGTATATCACTGTGTCACATGACACACGCATTTTGGTAGACCTGATTGATATATTTTGGTAATTACTTTTTTGTTGTTCCGTCCTCTCTGATTTCGTTTTAATTTCTCTAGTTGTAGATAATTATCATTAATTCGATCTGGCACACGAAATGACCTTAATTACTCCGTTCATAAATCAACAGGCTGTCCACTTAAGAAAAATTAAAGGTTCCCGGCTGATGCATTGGATCGTTGTAATACATGTACTACCTAAACAATTACTGAACTAGTATACTTAAAACTTTCTTCTATCACATGTTTGTTCTGCACATCTGTTATTATTTATATCAAAACATGGTCATGTCTGTAAACCGGCGTGAATTCTGTAATTATTATTTTCAGAATATATAAATTATTATTATTATAACACTGATCACTACTTAATGATCCGTTAGTTACAAAATTTGTTTTTTTTTCTGACTTATATATGATAATCTATCTCTATGTGTCAAATTAATTCTCACTATCCTCTAACAGAACTAAAACATTTCAAACTGGATAATTTAGGGAAGAGAGAGGGCTTCAAGGGAAGCGCTGTTTTTTAAATATCAAACAATATATGGGATCGAATCCGCCAGGGAGCAACAGTTCCCTCAAGATTACAGGTACACTTTGCTGACGAGTGACAAGTAGCACGAAACCCGGATCCAGAGTTTCCTGTCGACTACCTCCAACCACCATCTAATGGGAAAATATTAAACAGAAATAGTTAAATGATTTATTACATGAAAATTTGAAACGAAATCAACGTTTTCATTATACATTTTCTCTATTGTACAAGAAAAAAAAAGAGAGAAAAATAATTCGTTAACGTTTAAATATTGCACTATTATAATACTATTACTACATGGACTCACTAAAAGGTAAGAGAAAAGGAAAAACAAAATGAAAGAAACACATTGATAATGATTTTCATTTCTTTATTGTTTTCTTTGTTGCTGTTGTTGTTGTTGTTTTTCTTTGTCTTGAAAAAGAAAAGTAAATGTCACTTTGTCATTTTCTACAACTAGATTTCAGTAATATAGGCGATGTTGGTAATCATCTTGGTATTGGAAAGGTTAAAATGACTTATAGCAATAATAATAATAATAATATTAGTGTTTAATCTAACTAAACCTGTGGGTTTCAATACATATGTGATTGATCTCAGGTAAAGCAGAATAAGATGGTTAGGGTTGGTTGAATTATTGATAGTAAGTTAAACGAGTCAATCAGTAAGAACAAACAAACAAACAAACAAACAAACAGAAAATGTCAATAATAAGATCTGATTCATTGAAGGTAAGTCAAAACTAATATTGAATGAGTTGAGTTGAAATAAACAAAAGAAAAAAAAAGTATCATTTTTTTTCACCAATTTTTTTTCTTTTCTTTTCTCTTATGATTATTCTTTTAAAAATTAAAAAATAAAATATTGATTATTTATTTTCTATCAGTTCCAGCCATAATACTTTCTGATTCATAAAGACTATCATGTTTAGCCATAATACGCATTAATGGACGTAAACTAATCCACCATTCTTCTTTTGGTAAACGATGTCTATAAAGTAAAAAATAGAAATGGAGAATTTTATGAGCGATTTATTAATATTAGTTGAAGAGAAAATCACTAGAAATAATGACATACAAGTGTGATCGATAAACGAACTCAGTAATGACAACATTAAGTGCTCATCATCACATTAACTCTCTTTGACCTTGGATGGCTATGTCTTGTTTTATTCAGCAATCATAATTTTTCCGTTTATCATAAACGATATTAGGTTTTTTACAACTGATTTCACGAGTTGATCTATGCAAGACTATCACTGAAAACTTGAAAGCATTAAATCGTGGATGTGTACTGCTGAAACGGCCGTTCAGTGCTTCCAGGTTTTCAATGGTGGTCTAGCTTAGATTGAATTGTGAAACCAAGTATGAAAATACTATAATCTCCACAAATCCCTAGACTGATATTAGGTTCTTTGTCTCATTTTTCCTATTCTCTGGTTACTGTTCAGTATGTTTTTAGTGTCTGTTTAATGCGTTGAATAGATTGTTTTCTGCATAATAACAGTATTAGTTTACGTTTTAGAAAGAGATAAAGTTTATCAACCCAAATAGCTTACTTGTCCTGATTTTAGCTAAGCTAAAACTGTGCTCAACAGTCAGGGAAATGGTTTAGAATTGCGTTTGTAGAAAAATACTTTCTACAATCCCTATGTCTTACTTTAATATATCGTTCATGTATTTAATATTTAGTTCCCTAATGTAACAATGAGACATCACGTTACTGAAATAAGGATTGTAAGTGAGAATACATTCAACTCATGCATTCAATTATAAACAAACAATCATCTAAGCGAAGAACGGGTTGATGTAGCGTAAAGTTGGTAAACTAAATAACTCATTCTACTTAAGACGATTCATTGTATATATAAAAGTAGACTGTGTATAGAATACAGCGAGTCAATACAGAACCAATTGGATCACAGATGGAAATAGACATACGTACATACACAAGAATATAGGAAGAACGTTCAGAGATAATAATGTAGATTAAATATGAGTGTATAGGATAACTGTTCAGAAGCTTGAACAGTCTGTTTCGCTGGCGTTTATTGCACTGTTAACAGCAGAGTGAATTCATAACTCATCACCATTATGCATATCTTTGAGTCAAAATCCAGAGGTCGTAAAACAAAATAAGAGGTTGTGTTTAATAATTCCTAGTGGTTTCAGTGATTCCACACAGATCATATCGATCAGTAGTTTATGATGATTTGATTATACAATAAAAAGAGAGATAAATTTCTTTGAGGTTTCCATCTTTAATGAAATATATCTATAAGGATGATTCTCTTTAAACTCTTCACTTACTGAATACTATTTACTTAGTATTACAATTAATTATAAAACATTAACCGCTTTTAATTTATTTTACATCATAATGATAATGAGGTTATTTAAAAGGAAATAAACACCTTTCTCCTAATTAGAAGGGGGATTTTCTGGAGATTTTAGTACTTTAATAGTTGGAATGATGAGTCAATTAAGGTTAGACCATCATGGAAAACCTGGTAGCACTAAACGGCCATTTTGTCCTATTGAGGAGTCACATACTAGGACGAAACAGCCGCGTATTGTTTCCAAGTTTTTCATGATGGTCTAGCTTTAAATGATTCATGAATTCAACTATTAAATTAACTTTTTCTTTATTATATATGTTTTCCTGTACCTTAAATTGAACTACATCATTATCATTATCATCTTAGTATAATTAAATCTTTTAAAATAATTTTTTTTCAAAAAACATTTACACGAAATCTGTATGTTCTCTCAATTCCATAATGTTTGAATAGGTTGTCTGACGACGTACAATACCAATAAGTGTACAGCATAAATGTCCTGGTGTATAGACTGTAGCTGTAATTAAAAATATAAAAAAAATAAGCAAAAATATAAGTCAAGATAATTGCATATATTACAGGGGTCTAATAAAAAGTTAATATTAAATATAAGATATTTTCAACTATCGGTTTCTGGCATTTCGGTGACACATACATAATCGTGTTGCTTAAGTAACCACAATCAAAAATCAACTATCTCGGATGTGAGACAGTTATCCTCAGCAGGTAATAGGAGATGACGTCACATAATCAGGAGTGCACAGTATTAACTATCAGTCTTGAGGTTAGCCGCGAAATCGGAGATCCTAGGTTAGATCCTCAGAGTGGTGGTGAAACAACTGTTGAATATTTCCTGGTTGTCTAACTGAGGTAAGTCAGTAGTGTAAACCATGAAACAATGATATTATGAGATGGTATCGTTATATTTTGGGTCTGAACATTATTAGCCTGCACCTGACTTGATTATTATTTTATGTTACAGATTTATTATCAAGTACGGATTCGTGTACCTAGCTCTAAGAAACATTACAAGTATGGGGGCTAGTGATACTAGTTAGTTGTTATGGTATAGAACTATCAAAGCTGTACTTAGTTTATCTCAACAACTGAAAGCGAATATTACCTAAATATATTTGAAATAACTCAGTCACTCTCGTGTCCGAGGTAATTTAAATTATAGGTAACTTCCAGGAACTATTTATGGATTGTTATTATGTATATTCTTATTATATAACTATTATTAAGTAACTATATTATACGCAAACTCACATTCTGTTTTATTGTAAGATTCCATTTAGCTTATAAACTACTATTATACTGTTTACTATTCTTAATCTATTCTCAATTTATTAGTTACAGTCTTTCACAGTCACAGACACTTTTGGCCTGATCTTGAATAATTATTTTCTATTTTGTGGTATGATGCGGTCTGGTTTGCTTGTATGTAAACTACGTATGTTTACAACACATGATTCTTTCAGTGGAAGCTGATATTGTGTTCTGGAATGAGTCGTCTGGGTTAGGCGAGAAGTTACTATCTCAGAGGACCAATAGAACTTCAGGGTTGACTCTAGGCTGCTCGTATTGGTTTATGCGTCATTGGTTTGGCACAATGCGAAGGTCACGAGAATCGGTGTTCTAGTGGTGCTTTAGTCACGTGATAAATTAACAAGTCCATAGGACATAAAAGTCACGATAAATAAAATAATTGTTTGTGAAATCACGTCAAGTTTGATTAGCTATTTTTCAAGCTTGTAAACATTTATCATCTAAATCAACTTTAAAAAAAATTCTGTGGAACTAACCTGACTAAACTCTAATTCAAATGTTCAGCCTTATTAGCCATGGCGAATGATTTATAATAACAATAATGTCTTGTTAAATCTCAAGGTTAATATTTAAGGCAAATGAAAAGGCTGGGAATAGACTCCACGTTGTCAAGTCATATCTGAGTGTAACGTCATCAGTGATTAAGGTTTTGCTTTCGTTTATTTAGAATATTAAAGATTCCCATTGTGAAAATTAGAACAACACATATAAGCGAACAATTGTTTTCAATTAGATCGTCATCAGGCTTTACTCTAATATACATGAATACGAACATCTAACAACTTGGTACATAAAAGGCCAAATAAAATCTGTTCGCAGTTCTATATTGGCACATCTCATTCATAGCGGTCATGCTGTAGATAAATCGAAATCATTTCGAGTTATCTATCGTATACCTCCATCATTTCCCGACGGAGTCCGTTCCCGTCTCCTACATATAGCTGAAGCCATTGGAATTCGTACATACCCCCCTATCCCTTCCATGGCCGGTTATAACTTAACTAAAATTTTTTAAAAAAATTTTATTATTATCATTATTTATTTTATTCTATTTGTGTTATCGTTAACCTTATTTCCACACCTAGTATTTCTTTGTAATTTTCCGCCTCTTTGTATTCTTCACTATCTAATTATTTACACACATCTTATTACGTAATGATTTTTAAGGTTTTGTGATTACTATTCCTAGTCTATTTACCCATGTTTATTTGACCTTCTATTCCCAACGTTTAACTATTGATATGAGTTTTGTTATTGTATTTTATTATTCTTACTATTATCAGTTCACCAGTCTTCCTACTATAAACTTGTGTAGTGACTTATTCTATTTCATTGTGATTATTGACCCATATTGCCTTGATTGGTTTAAAATTTTCGTATAAATATTCATGTATATTAGAGTAAAGCTTGATGACGATCTAATTGAAAACAATTGTTCGCTTATATGTGTTGTTCGTTTATTTAGTCACTTAGTTGTAGATATTTTGCAATAATGTCTATTATAGAATTAATTGGAGGTATTTCTTTAGCCATGTTATAAGTTTTCCTCGATCATGACTGACTAGCCTACACTTGACACGTTCGTAGCATGGTGGAGTGATATTTTCATTGTAGAAAACTTTACATTTTTTCATGTAAGCCAGCGAAAAAGACAGAAAGCGAAACACGTCCTTCATAATGGGTTACGATGGTTTAAATAATAATTCCCACTTCATTTTGGTTGGTTGACAGGTACAAGGTCAAAGTTGCAAACGAGAGTGGAGTTTATCCTTACCCAGTGAAAATCAATTAATTTTTTTAGATATCAATACAAATAAGACGTATAGCCAAATGTAGAAGATAAAATCATATATTTACAGAAATCTCAGCGACTGAAAATAAGAGCAACTTAAAAGTTTCATTCAACAGTCTGATTCAAGCTTGTTCAGGCGAAATAGTCGAAAATTAAGATTACTCACAACCATAGAGTGAAGTTGTATATTTTTGGTGAATAATTTTTTGCATATGATCTCCATATATATACAACCTTTTGCTTGTTTTGTTAATGCCAATGACACTTATTCACAATTGCATTCGAACAAATCCCAAATTCTACATTTTTCAAATTATTAGGCTATATAGGTTTTCAATGGTGGTCTAACAATGGTCGATTCATGATCTAAATGAAACATACTTGTATAGCTTGTTTGGATTTTGCCATTAATCCTGAGGACTATAACTGATCAGTCTCTTTGAGTCAATTGTCCATCCTGTCAAGAAAACCTTAAATATGACATTAAGTCACAATCATTATAAACAGAGATGAATGGTGGGTAGCAGTGAATACCAGAATAAGCATTTCGTCCTATTTTGGGTTTCTCAGTTGGATTTACCTGTATCCCAGAGTTAATATTCGCTCTGGGACAATAGTTTAACACATAATTAATTTGTAAACAGAAGGTTGATAAAAAAAAATCGATTTTGAAATTGAGCAACTGGATAGCCTACGAATTCAACCGCATGAAAAATATAAAATGTGAATGGCAGGAGGTATTAAAATTACATTTGTAATCATGTGAATGTAAAAAGATAAACAAACAATATGTAACTTACAATCTGAACGTATATTAGCATTGATTTGTTCATCTAACCAGTCAATTGCTTTCGAAGCAAATTTTGTACCTAAACTTCTATCAAATGGACTCGGTCTATCACCTTGCTGCATATGACCCAGTACATTACAACTGGATATGTGAAAGGTTTTAAAAATATAAATGAATTGAAAGTTTTGGTTATATTTACTTGAATACATATGAAATAAACTTTCAAAATAGTCAACTATAGCTCGAACTACTTAATAGTAACTAAGAGTAGTATAGCGCTATACAGCTAGAAAATATGAAGTAATAAATAGAAATAATTAGCAGATTTAACATTAGTTATTTTATCAAACGGTGATTATTCTTGGCGAAATATCGCGGATTAACTGAAGTTGGATATTCACGCCGTTAGATGTTGACTCAATAGTCTAAACTTCAAGCGTTCCCACGCAAGGTTGAAGCTTTTATGTTCGACTACCAGGTTCAGGGTGGTGTATGCTCACTGCTGAGTCTCACACTGGGACAAAACGGCCGTCCATTACTTCTAGATTTTCCATGGTGATCAAGCTAAGATCGATTCGTGGATAGAGCTACGAAACTTGTGCAATTTCTACAAATATCTCTACGCTAATAAAATCATCACATTTATTTAAAGTATCGTACTTTAAGCTGAAATAAAAATTTCCTTTCATTATTTCCTAATAATTTTTTTCTCTCAAGTGATAAGACCTTGACAACTAATTGCCTTAACTTCCCAATGTAAGAGAACAGAAAATGGATCTAGACAAATGAGTTTTTACTATTCTCAAGAGAAATTAAATTGTTAAAACTAATCTGTTTAGGTAGCAACGACAAAATGATATATTAAAATAGAGTCTAACCAATCAGGGAACAGTTAAATTTGGAGCAGTTGTTATGCAGTTTAAATTATCGTTGACCTGGTTACGCGGCAAATTATCAATAAAACGGTAAACAATTATTACTTGTAGGACATTTTCCTTCTTCATAGTTATTTCAAGAGAAAGAAAAATCTCTACCAGTCAATTTTTCCGTCTTGCGATAGCAGTTCAGTTATTGTGAGTAATCTATACTTAGTTTGACTTCAGATTAAGTCAGTCGATTGATTAGTTAACAATAGATACACAAGTTATTCCCCTGTATTTACATAACTGAGGATGAAATACACGTTATGCCAGAATTGTAACACAGATGTATAACATCTAATCGATGATCAAATCCTATCGAATAGGCAAAGTTAATCGATAGAGTATTATGTAGATTGTTTATATCATGAACTGATTTAAGGTAGACAACCAATGAATTGATTAAGGCTAGGAATGCAAACTATTTGATATTGATTCACTAATTTGAAGATTAAGCTATTACCACAAAACCTAAAGCTCTTAGGCTCATTTCCAGGTGGAAAGCAACATACTGGGATGTAACAGTTGTACAATGCTTCCTAGTTTTCAATGGTTATTTAACTAAGATCATTTCATGATGATCATCATGAAAATTATATCGACTTCGATTTCAATAATAATAATAATAATAATAATAATAATAATAATAATAATAATAATAATAATGAATCACTCACCGGCAATCAAATATACCTTGACCTTCTTGAGCATATAATTGATGAATAAATTCACTTGTATAATATTTATTAGCATATTCGGCTCGTAGTATTAAACCACGTTTAACATTATCATCAATTTTTGCACGTAGATGTACTACATCTTCACGTAAATCATCAATCGTAAATGGTTCTTCAAATATATAAGCAGCATCTGCTCCACCAGCTAATGCACTCATTGTAGCTAAATAACCACAATAACCACCCATTGTTTCAACAACAAATACACGACGTTTTGTACCCAATGCACTTTGTTTAATTTTATCTAAAACCTTGAAAAATTAATGTTTAAATAGAGATAAAAATGATAACAGGAAGAAGAGAGAATGAAGAGAGTAACCAATGGTTAGTGATAATGATTAGTTAACTAACAGATTTCTTAAAGTTATATTTGTCACAGATTCGTCTTAGTTGAAGTGCCGATAATAACTCGGATGACAAGGATAGTTGTTTCGTCCTAGTATAGGGCCTCTTAGCAGAACGTACTCATAACTTCATGGCAGGTCAGAATCAGGATCTCCAGGTCCCATAACGTACACTGATACCAATATAATCTATAAACTGAACCAATCTTCATAAAATTCATTCAACTAAACTGAAATAGTCAGCTCATTTGTGAGTTATTTCAAGATGTTCCTGGATTTCTAGAGTGAAGCTGTAATTGTCAGACTTCAAGAATATTGGGAGTAAATTGGCTTTTGCTAATCGCATAAAATGGTTGTCGTGCTATATATTGCAAGGCGATTGAAGTCAGAGTTGCACCAGTAGATATTGACCCAGAGATTACAATGACCAAGTGTTCTCTGAGAGAAATAAAGATCCTAGATTATATCACTAGTGGAGTCATAAATGCGAATGTGACCAACATTCTACCCCTCCCAAAAAAAACATCGCGAATTGGTTCGACTTAGAAATGTAAACCACTAGATACTAACTAAGGGGTTTGAAGAGTGGACATCCACTGAGAGCCCTTGAATTCAAACTCTATGGTGAGATTACAGATGTGTTACTAAGAAAACTCAATATTAGGACGAAACAGCTGTTCAGTGCGTCTTGACTTCCAATAGCTGTCGAACAAAATTCAATCTGTGATGTAAAACTAAGAATATTATTTACACATTATATTGTTCAAAGACTTAGAATTCCCTCAACAAAATATGAACAAAAGCGTCCATAATATGGTCAACCCACATTTCATTGTTCATTGAAAGGATGATTCCATCTATCATTTACCGATTTTCATTATACAATATAATTAAATGAATATTTTAATGAATGGATGAGTTTTTTAATGTTTTCAATATTTAAAAATCAACATTAGTTCATCCGGAAAAATCTTTTATCATAGATCAGTGATTAGTTCAGCTTAATTGTATAGTAAGTTCATTTCCATTATTTAATGTATAAATCTAACATCCCTTTTTTCTCCTTATATCTCAAACGAAAGTAAAATATTGAAAATTTACAAAACATTTCAAGTTTGTAGAACTTAAGTCGTTAAATTAAAAATAAATAAACTGTTATACGTTAAATTCACTTGGTATTGTTTACTTGAATCTTCCCATTGATGTTTACGACTGCGGTTGATCAGTCTCTTATTAGCATATGTAAATATTGTGCGGATTGCATTAGTTCACAAGCATTGTAAGCAAAGATGGATAGTGGCTGGCAGTGAAATCCAGAACACGAGTTTCGTCTTATTTGGGACTCGTCAACTGGATGTGCCTAGATCTCAGAGTTGATGTTCACTCTGGAACTCAAACACAGTACTGTGATCTAAATGTATCATACTTACGGTGGAAACACAAAGAACTGGGCCCGCTCCTATGACATCGCTAAGGTGCTGTAAACTAGGATGGAACTACTACTCTCTAGTTTTTTAATTCTCTTTCGATTCCTTCAAGCTAATAGCGATATCAAAATGCTAATCAGAAACAAAATATAAAACTTGGAAATATACACATAACTTACAGAGGTTATTTCATTTAAAGCTGTATCACAACCCAAGGAGAAATCAGTACCAGGAACATTATTAGAAATTGTCGCTGGTACCATAGCCATAGGTATACATAATTCAGGATATTTTTCACGTCCTTCGACCAGTTCTATCAAACAATCGTATGCTTCAAAGCCACCAATAATAAGTAAACCGCTTAATTTGAATTCTTTAAATCTCGCGGCTACTTTCTCTATACCTAAACTATTTGGTGTGTCTCTAGGTAATTGAAATAAATGAAATATAAAAATAAAAGCAAACTTAATTAGCATGTACAAAGAAAACCATGAAATACAAGACAAGAATACAGTAACGGAAGGGTAAATTAACTTTATAATTTAAGCCATACATTGATTGGATTTCAATCTATTTGACTTCTAACAGTTCTGAAAGCAAGGTTGGTTCAAATGTTAAATTTTTTCCCGCAAGAAACTGACGTACTTTGATGAAGGGTGTATTTACAACACAATTTTAAAAAACAACTCAAACTTTATCATTATGAATCGAATATTTCTAACAATTCTTCCCTAATAATCAAAATACAAGTGCACTAGCTGCCTGTAAAACCATACTAACGATGAAAGAGTAAGTATTAATCTTGAAAGTGAAATTTTAAGTGATTTGCCGACAACAATAATGCTGGTCTAAGATGTTTTAACCGCGTTATCCTAATGGATGATCAGTATTCATAAAGTTCAGTAGGTAAAAAAAATGAGAAGTCTCCCTGTGTTAAAAAGACTGCAATATTTTTATTTTAGGCTTCAGTATTTTTAAACGTTTTACAGTTGAAATATTTAGGTGTTGGATGATAAGGTGATATAAATTACATGAAAGTTATTACTCATCATTTCAAATGGTGCTGTGCTATTAGGAACTGCCATTTATTAGATATTACTGGCAAAGTATCAAGTTCAAAACTTGTTGTTATAGCTATAATACTTCATTTAGTATGTACAGAATTCAATGAGAGAGGTAAAATATGCTACATTTGACTGGCGACTAATAAAGACAAGGTCGGTCCGATCACAAAAATGAAGATACCATTTGCGGCTACTTATAAATTAACAGTAGTTTAAATTCTTCGACAAAAGTCTAGTTTCAAATGACTGCACAGCACAGATCACATACCTGCGTGTTCCTAATATGGAACCACCTATTCCCACCCATCCACGTACATCAGACCACTGTATTTCACTAGCATCGCCTTTAACAAGACCGGAGAATCCTTCGTGTATTCCGATAATCTTATAACCTTTGGTGATACCCAGACGAGTAAATCCTCTTATTACTGCATTAATACCGCAAGCTGGAGCACCGACATTCACGATACCGATTCTCAAGTTGTTCTGAAATGTGAGAAAACAAACAATTGATTCAAAGACTTGAAAACGTCGTGAGTGTGTTGCGCTTTTATTTTACAAACCATCAATAACTATGTTGTGGATGAAGTGATCGATAATAGATGTTGCTTCTATAAGCTGAAAAAACATGAATTTGACCCATTCAACAACAATATTATTACAGTATAATATGTATATGTGAAAAGTATAGAAATAAGAACATGAGGCGATATACATATAGATAGGAGAATATATATATCGTAAAAAAGATTATTAGTTAACATTGACCAGTTATCCTACAAAACAAGCTGCATACCAATCTTCAAAATAAAAACGCGCATTAACATGGATTCACTACATAATTTTGGCGGATAGCAATAAATAAAATAAAATTTTGAAAAGTTTTAAAGTATTACTGAAGGTGATTTTGATCAGGGTAAAAAAAATCATGATTAAAGTATTCAACTAAAAAGCGACACGTAAAAATGAATACAAAAGTAAATACAACAGAAAACGAACATAGGATAAAATGACAGTAGTTAAAGTCGTTATAAAATAACTATATTGGTATTGTATATCATATTGTGAGTTCTAGTATTTCTACAATATAGCCTAACTATCCACAGAGTATTAGCCGATGAGGGAAAAAATAACTATTCATCTTCTATTATATAAGTCAGTCAGTTATTTACTCACTCATCAGCAAAGTAGAATATGGCACGTGTATAAATCAGTCAAAACTGTTACACATGTCAGTGGTAAAGGGTGAGGAAAATTGTTAAACATCAGGAAAAGATTACGATCACATTTACGAAGTATGTAATCTAAGCTTTGAAAAGCAATAATTGTCAATCCTACCTAAGAATGTAGGTTACTGCTTATCCTATTACCTGGATTAATGTGTTGAGTTGCTTTCTAGTAGAATAATGTACAGAAAAAATTATCTAAAGAATCACATGGTAAAATGGTTCTCAATCGGAAAGTCACAAGAGCAGTAACCTCTTTAAGACATTATAAATCGATATTTCAAATCACTAGACTAGGAAAATTTACGAAATGTTTATATAATCCTAGGACCATAACACACAACTTCAATTAATGTTATTATTTCAAGTTATGATTATTACATTAATTGATTGCTGAGTAGTAACTAATGTCATGTCTGTCAATCAAAGTGGTTACTAGTCTACGGGACTCAACATTACTTGCAGTATGTTGAGATATTAGATAGTTGAAGACAGTCAGTCGGCAGTAAACCTCGCATGACATAGGTTTTGTGTTCATTGGCACTCATCATCAACGTATATCTAAAATCTTGAGAACGGTTGATCCCTGTGGGAATTAAACCAACATCACCCAGTCTCGCAGTCTGAGACTCAGACAATGAGCTTTTCAGGCTGCGCCTGACCTCCTAAAGAACTTGTATATTTATAATTAATCGAATGATCATAGAGGAACAATCAATGTCACGCTGGTCCAACTATTTGTTATCAATCGAACGGCACATCTCAGATGGTAAAGTCTCATTTTATAAAGCTAAGTGATAAAGATTTTTATTTAACAGACAGCATCGGTCATTTCAAGCCTTATTTCCGAGTGCCAAATTGTACGAAACCTAGATCCAGGATATCTTAACGACTACAAATGGCTTACAATGTTCCACAGTCTTGTCAATTTAGTCATTCATTCCTTTGATTGCTGAATCAGACAAATATAACTGAAAGCATAAAATAATGGTTTATTAATAGTTTACTAACTAACTAAACTATTTAAATAATTATCTATTTATCTGTATATATAAAGGTCATCAAAATAACTACTCAATCCAAATCCAAACATTTTAACTGTGCTTCAATTGATTATGACACTGATATTGATGATATCAAAGACAAATCTATGGATGAAGCATGTAAAGTTCATAGTATGTCATGTAATCGTCCAAAAAAGCACGGTTATTCGGTTACTTGACTTCATGATTTTTACGTAAACAAACGATTATTTAAATAAATAAAAACATGACATAACACTTAATAAGTTGAACAATTATTAATACTAAGTAAACAATATACAAGGATAACTGAATTATTTTCAGTCTCATTAAAGTACTAATACTTATACATTTAATAGTTGAATTCATTAGTCAATTGAAGCTAAACCACCATGAAAACCCTAGGAGCATTTGGACGGTCATTTCGTCCTAGTATGGAACTCATCGTGCGCGAGACTGATAAGTCCTGGGTTCGAATCTTGAGAGGTAGGGGTGTGGATGCACTACTGAGGAGCTATATACTAGGTCGAAACGGCCGTTCAGTGCCTCCAGGTTTTTTCATGGTACGTTAGCTTCAATCGACCCATGATCTAAACTATTAAAATTACTAAAATATTCACTAAACCACTTTATTTATCATTTCTATTTAATTCATTCAAATCCCTTTCGTAACATGTCATATACGATATCAGTACAATAATTGATAGGTGATTGTGAAAGGAACGTTTTCATGGTTTTGCAAGCACTCACACTCGTACACATATATGTATCACAAATCTAGGTCACAACAACTGTTCAGTAAGGTCAATTCTTTTCAATCTTTACCTATTTTATTACAGAAAAGCATATGATTTTATCCTAATGTGTACTAAGGAGTAATACCATAGTGATTTGTGAATGAGTGCATTCATCTCTGCTACATTGATTTGAAGCTTCTGGTACTAACTGTCTTCACTCCTGTAAAATTGAAGTCCATATTCACAGGAGGTTATTTGTATAAATTTTTATCAAAATTCAATTAAGTGAAAACAAATTCTGTAATGTGTGGCTTAATGATTAACCAATCAATTAATAGGACCGCAAATTCTAACCTGGTTTAGACCATCGGGTAGTACTATTAGCTATTAAAGAAAGGTATATATATATATATATATATAGGTGAATTAAACTAAATACTTCATTTAAAAATGAACACAAATGTACGCTTAATTACAAAAGAACAATTTTGAATTTCCATTTTACTAATCGTAGAATCTAACAGATCTGTTATACTTGTTAATATAGGATGCTGGTTGTACAGATTTTGTGAAACAGTCTTCTGTAATATTTTAATTATATGTCTTTGAATAGTTAGAGCCATCTGAAAAGACTTAAATATAATAATGTGATGTGCACTACCAGTACCTATTCATATTTACTCAAAACAAAAATGGAGAAGACCTTTGTACAAATGATTGATTTATTCGAAATAGTCTCATTAATATATTACTGACATAAAACAATGAGAGAGCTGAGTTAACTGATCAATTAATGAATAGTCACTGAACAAGCAGCCAATATACGTATTAATCAATGACATGACAGAGTTCGAAATCGGCATTACCATTAAGCATATATATGTCTAGTGAGATGATAAATTTTTAGTGAAATCAATAAATTATCATGAATTTCTTCTCTAATCACTAAACAAAATTTTATAACTAGGCTTGATAGGTTGTGGTAATCAAACATATCAGATCAAGACCATATGATTAGTGAGAGATTTGACAGTTGTAAATTATCGGCAGACGTTTGACAGAAATATTTGAGGGATAGATATCTATGTTTATGGCTCGCCATTTAGACTCCGTGACTTAATAGATAAAGCTTTAATGTTTAGGTTCCAACTTCTGAATATGAACAATAACCCTGGATTTCAGTTATATTCAACTGAGAATGTTCAAATATAAATTGTACAGTAAGCTACAATCCACGTTTATTTACAAACACTGATTCAACTCTAGAATTTCTAAAATCAAATAACTCCACTAAGAAGAAAACATATGTTAGGTTCGTTAACCTTGAGGATACTACTGATTCGACTTATTCGGAACGGAACGAAGGCTCAGGATTCAGAGACTCAATAGACTATTCTGGTTCGTTGTCTTCGACTCAGCTAACTCGATCAAGAAGTCTTGGTAAGGCGTAGAAAGTGTATTCTACAAGCAACAGCAAATACCAAGTCAGGCAGGCAGATCAGATCAAGCATACAAGTCAAGCGTATTTATACAAATATATATATATATATATATATATATATCGATTTTGTCATAGGAAATTTTTTAAACAATAATCAATGAGTCATCAATTGTCTGCTATTTAATCAACTGACTGCCATTCAAATATTTAAACATTTAATCGATATGATAAAATTAAAAAATATGAGTTTGGTGATATATCGGCCCCAACAACATATTATATAATCAATTGTGTTTGTTTAAAGTGAATAAAACTAGTTACCGAAAAAAAACTTTATCTTTGAATATTGTTCCCAAATCAAAACCAGGAATAGAATTTAACCAATAGAATTACACAATCCACTTTTCAGTCATGTGGTTAAATCATATTTTATTCCGCGTGACCTTGAGGCGTAGAAACAAAATGGTTGAACTTATAAGAAAATTACAACACTTCATCGATCAATCAATGAACAAAATCATTCAACAAAATTCGAAATGTATTTACTGTATTTTATAATTATGATTATTTTGGGAGAATTTATACTTAGAATAAATGGAATAATAAACAACCAAAAAAAGGCGATTTTTATCGTACATATCAATATAAGAAATATTCTAGAACATGGCTCTCATCAAACTGTAGAACTTTCTAGACATCTAAATAATTAGACAGTCAAGTGAGAATAGTTGAAGTTTGATAGATGGAAAAATAAATCTAGTGTATCATTGGTGGCTTGGTTGAATATCTGGGTTATCTGTTCCTCCCAACTAAATATTTCAATAAGTTATCTGTTTTTCTGTTTGTTTTAACACATCATTATGTCTATTGATTGCACAACATATTTACAGAGCGCTCATGAACAGTCTACGACATCTCACTGTACAATTGACAAAAACGTACAATAAGAGACATCGTGATGGCTGGCTATATTCATCGAAAACAATATACATTATTCAGAGGTCGATTCCTGAACTGCTAACATCTAATTAGTAATCACACAATATTTATCATCAGGATC